GACATACCAATGTTGCCAAGCGTTGATGCATCTACCTATATTATTGTACCATGGTCCTATCCATAACAACAGTGCTGTCAACTTTTATTCAGACTTGTCATTCTAAATGTTGCCTTTTACTTTATCGATAGCTCAAAACATGAGTTAGAGAATCCCACTACTGGGGAAATTATGGGGAGAACTAGCGGCTTAAGGGGAATTATTAAAATGAGTTAAACACCATGCAACAATGCAGAGGTCAAGTAAAAAGCTTCTAAAAAATTGTCAATATTCGTTTGCAATTTGTTTACGTTTTCCCCCGTTTGGGAAAGAATTCCAAGTATTGTTTGTAAGAACAGCTGATCTTCTCTGTTCGGTCAAAACTCTTAAACGAATGAAAACGTGAATAAAAAATTGATTTTCTACAGTTGGAACTTGCTTTACATGTGAATCCAACCCGGATTTTCAAATTATTTCCTTCAAACACCCTTATTATTACACCAGTTAAATTGAGGTTAGCATGTGTAAAATGACATTATATTTAACAACAAAATGACAATATATTATCATTCAAAGTTGCCTAAAAGTGCCAAAAATGTTTTGGAACATTTTTTTTTCGCAACAATTATTCAATATCGACGATTTTTTTCGAAACAATCTAGTGAAAACTACTTCCAACAAAATATTTACGGCAGTTTCTTTTACCGTGACATAAAACAATTGCCAACCATTTTTTTGAAATAATCTAATGAAACCTACTTCCAACAAAATATTTGCGGCAGTTTCTTTTACCGTGACGTAAGACAATTGCCAAATTATTTTCATAAAAAGCTATCATTGGGACAACATTTGTTTTGAATCATCGTCTGAACACTGTTTAAACTTTACTCACATCATTTTAAATATATAATAAACAAGCCAAAATTGACTATTTTCGCAATCGTCTTGTCAGGCCTACTTATGCGAACATATTTCCGGCAGTATTTTTTATTTATGACGTAAGTCAATTGCCAGCTATTTTTCAAAAAAAGCTGTAATTGGGACATAAATGGTTTAATATGTTTTTAAATCATCGTCTGAACACTGTTTAACCTTTACTTACTCACACTTCTCAATTGTTAAACATTAAAAAAAAACGCCAAAAGTTGACTATATCTTTAAAAAAAATTGTGAAACCCACTTCCGCCAAACTATTTGTCAGTTTCTTTAATCATGACCTAAGTCAATTGCTAACTATTTTTTATAAAAGCTATATTTGCTACAAAAATAGTTTAAAATGTGTTTGATTTATCGTCTGAACATTGTTTAACCTTTATTCACTCACATTTCTCAATTGTTAAACATGAAAAAAGCCAAAAGTTGACTATTTTCTTAAACAATTTTGTGAGACCTACCTATTTTCATCACTTTCTTTAATCATGACGTAAGTCAATTGCGAACTATTTTCCATAAAAGCTGTAATTGTGACATAAATGGTTTAATATATTTTTGAATCATCGTCTGAACACTGTTTAAACTTTACTCACTACAATGGTAGAAGAATACATCACCGCTCGGAACATTGATATGTCAAAATTTAAAAAATATTTTTTTTTTTCAAAAAATAGGTAGATTTTTATAAGCTTTCTTATGCGACACCAAAAGGAGGTTGTCATGATTTGCATTTTTCAAAAACACACGAAAACTTGACGTTTTTTTAAACAAATCTTGTCTGGCCTAATTCCGCCACAAGTTTCTTTAGTTATGGCGTACGTCAATTGCCAACTTTTTCAATAAAAAATTGGCCATCTTTTTTATAAAAGCCATAATTGCCACAAAAATTGTTGAAAATAATCATCGTCTGAACACTGTTTAACCTTGACACTCATATGTGGTACCTTCAATACTTAAGTATGGCAATTGTCATCTAATTTCTAAAGGAGAAATATTGCAAAGGTTTTTCTTAAAAAATACTGATTAACAACGGATGTTTTCAAATGTATTTAAAGGAATAACCCCTTAGAATGATAATAAAGCCACTTTGTTATTAAATGTAATGCATTAAAAAAAAAAAAAACACAATAGTAATAGTGAAAACAATGCTGTGGAAAATTAAAATATTTTACAGAATGCCAGAGAGCAGGCAATAAAAAACAATGATTTTCAAAAAATATGTAAAAAAATGCAATAAATGGTGCACTATGTATTGAAAGATATAATTAAAAACAAAAATATTTTATTCCGCCTAGAAATGTTAATAATCATAATTTTTTATTTAACATTGATTTAAATTGATTTAAACACACACTTCCAATCCTTGCAAAAAATATATGGTCACCATAACAATACTGAAATTTTTTATATTTTAAAATAGTTTTTAATTATAGCTGAACTATTTTTAACTAAGCTAATCATTTAATCCTATATTTTTTTATTAGTTTATAATTTATTCTAAAAAAAGAAAACCACAATAAAATATATAGATAAATTTTATTCCTATACAAAAAAGAAAAGAAAAAAAAGGCGCAAACTTTTATTATAAACCAAAACACAGATATGATTCTTGTTGAAAAAATCACTCACGACCCACACATTAAAAAAAAAAAGAAAACTAAGTAAAAAAAGTGTAATATTCGCCGCAAATTTTGTAGAATATTAAAAATTTGTGAAAATTTTAAGAAATTGTTAATAATTAATTAATTATTTATATTTCCTTTTACGGTTTATTTTTGTTTTGGTTTCTTAAAAATCAAAATTTATTTCCTTTGATACAAGTAAAAAAAACAAAACTTCTCTGGCTAACAACGATAAATAAAAAGCAGGGAGGATAATTGCAAGCATAATTGTCAGGGTGGGGAGAAAAGATTAAATCATTAATTTCCATTCATTACTCAATAACTCTTGACAGAAGCGCAAGAGAAAAAAAATATATATAAATTAGTTAATAACTAATCACTAGCTATTATTACAACTCATTTTGGTGTGGTTAAAAACATTTGAAAAAAAAAAATAAAAACCATACGATTGTTAAAAACACAAAGCAAAAATCCATACATAACTAAGTTAAGCTAAAAACAAAAAAGAAAATAAACATAACCTAACATACAAACATAACTTGCAAAAAATAACTAATAATAACACACACACACAAAAAATGAAGAAAATAATAAATGGAAAATATATATAAAAAATTCAAAAAAAAATGTTCTCTCTTCAATGTTTTTTCTTAAAAATGAGTGAAATCATGAACTGTTGTAAATATCAATAAGATTAGTTCGAAAAGATATACACGTTCTTTATTTCTTAGACAAATCTTTTTTATTTTTCACCTAAATTCTTCGAAAATTGCAACTTAAATTACGAGTTTTGAAAATTATTTAATGTAAACGTGGCCTTACTAATGCTTTATGAAAGATTTTCATTAACTTTTTAGCAGAAATTCAAAAAATGTATGACTGCCATGTATCGATTTTGTGATCCCTATAGTTGCATTTAGAGGCTGTGTGTGAGCTCTCATATAAACATGGCATAAGATATGCATTGGATACTTCTTACGAGATAACGTGTGGCAAATGACAAATGTTTTATTTAGAAGCACATTTACACAACAACGATGTATCCGCCGTAATAATTGACCAATCTTAATCATTTTGATGTGTTAATATCTTCAATAATGCCGAAATTTTGTAAAAATTATATGTTTTTGGTAAAAGTGTTTAAAAAATTAATGTCCCATATGATCCCTGCTATCGCAAATTTTTTGGGCTTTTCTTTATGTAGAAGCTGAGTGTGAGCGTTCATATGAACATGGTATAAGCCATGCATAAAAATGTGTGGCAAATGACAAATGTTGTATTTAATAGCACGTTTACATACAAACTCTCTACCCAGGTTTACCCTGATGATTGACCATTCACAATAATTTTAATGTTTTAAATCTTCAAAAAATGCCAGCATTTTGTAAAAATTAGTTGTTTTTTGTAAAAGTGCGTCCGTGGGTTTTGAGGTTGCTGCCCCATATAATCCCTATTACCACAAATTGTTTTGACCTTTTCTCTATATAGAAGCTTAGTGTTAGTTTTCATATGAACATGGTTTAAGCCATGCATTAGGAACTATTTACATAAAAATTGTGTGGCAAATGACATATGTTTTTATTTAATGGCACGTTTACATATAAAATCTTTACCCGGGTTAACCTTGATAATTGACCAATCAATAATTTTAATGTTTTAGTATCTTTAAAATTGTCAAAATTTTGTAAAAATTAATTGCTTTTTTTGTAAAAATGCATCCGTGGGTTTAAAAGGTTGCTGGCTTCAATGAAAAATAAATGTTTACTCAACTAATTGTTTTAAAGATTTTGGATTGAAGGACTTTTAATTCTGTTTTAATTCCGCTACAACAAAAGTACTAACCTTTTTCTCATTTCTCTTGGCCAAAAAATTTTTGTAAATAAAAATTTTTGTAATTAAAAGTTTCAAATCTTTCTTTTTTCCACCTAACGCCATGGTAAAATTAAGAAGCTAAAGTCATTGCAAATAAGCATACCCATCTCTGCATTTTTTGTAATTTACCTTGTCAAAATTCACTGCATAAAAATAGGTTTCCATCTCTGATTTGGATATTTACAATGGATATATAAATATATATTTTGACAATGAGATCTTGTCAAATGAATAATTTTGAAAAAAATTGTAAACAAATGATTGCATGACTTTACCTTTTTGATTCTACCATGTCTATCGCTTTATTTGCACACATATCATTACATACACGAATATACATACACACTAATTTTTTTTTATTAACAATCAAGGCTTTTTCATTGTAAAACTCATCATTCTTAAAATAAATAAAAAAAATTTCAACAAAAATTATTTATATTTACAACAGTAAAAAAAGTAAGACAATGTGCAATAGGTTTATATCAAAACAAAAAATAAATCTCAAAGTTTTCTTCCCAAAAAATTAAACAAAACACATCCACCTCATCGTGTAATTTATTTTGATTTGTTTTTTGGAAAATCAAACAATTATAGCAGCAACTCTAACACCGAAGAATCCGCTAAGCCCCGGGTATTGCGATTTACCTGGTCAATGAAAACAACATCGCCTCTGATGCCAGATCAAATAATGCAAAAGATTAGAGAAGTTCTCGATCAAAATAACTGTGACTATGAGCAGCGTGAAAGGTGAGATTCCGCTAACCATGAAACAATTATAAAGTTCCACCAGCAACAACATTGTGATTGAAATGGTAAACAATTTTTGACATTTCATTCCATTTCGTTTTGGATCAGCTGGTGGAACACGTTATTATTGAAACATGTGAAATATGATATCTTGGTGACCCTGACGTATGGAAAATTTTCTTTTTCTAGATTCGTTTTATGGTGTGTACATGGAGACCCAAATACCGATTCATTGGTACAATGGGAAATTGAAGTATGTAAACTTCCACGTTTGTCTCTAAATGGAGTACGTTTTAAACGCATTTCTGGTAAGCATTATTTTTTCGGATTTGTTTTTTCATAAGATTTTATTAATGACTTTCTCCCTTTCGATTCCATTTAGGTACTAGTATAGGCTTTAAAAATATCGCTTCACGTATTGCGTTCGATCTACGACTGTGATTCTGTCAGGAGAAGGGAGAAACTCTTAATAAAATTAACGATTCTACTACCGTATGAAGCAAAAACAACAACAACATCCACAGCAACAAAATGAAGGAGATTACTTCCCCCAGGAAAAATTATGTAAAATCCCCGGTTTATTCATCCCCCAAAAATTTAAGAAAGAAAGAACAATGGATCTAAATAATCTAAATAAACACTCACAACATAAAGTTACATATTTATAAACTTCAATCTCATGATGACATCAATAACAATGTTTAAAATGTTTCATATAACAAACCTCACACACACACATAAACAAAAAAAGCATTTAAAGTGAACAATAATAGTAAAACTAGGATTTTCTAAATGTGCTAAAAAAAAGTCAACAATTTCTTGCATCAATTTGCCTTTCGGCATCTCATAAAACTAATAATTGTGTTTTGAAATTCAAAACAAGAAGATTTAGTTGATGGCCTTCTAAAGCTAATTTGATGTGTGGCCATGAAGCCTTAGGAAATTGATTATTTGGCACAATTGTTATGTGGGGTACACATCATCAAACAAGATTTTAGATGCAAGTACAAAAAAAAACCTTGAAGTCATGTCTAGACATATTAATGTCAAATTATAACAGAAAACGGCGGCAGGTTTTTAATGCGGCTCTGTAATTCCTTTATGAAATGTCACAAAATATGCCTAGCCATGACTTCAAGTTTCTTATGTATTTACAACTTTTTTGTTTTATGTTTTGTAACTTTCAAATGAAATTGGAAAACTTAACTGATGGCGTTTACACCATGGAAGAACCTAGTTTTAAGCTAAAATCGAAATATCCACATATTTTCTTTACACAAACACAAATCCTAATTTTTTCAAAAAAAAAGAAAAAAACGCACACTTCTCCATCTCTCCCTTCCCTTCCCCTTTCGCTCTCACACAACACACATTCATTCTTCATACATATGTAGAAAATTGCAATCAAACTTGTTAAATTATATAATTATTATATATAAACACACACATACATAAAATACAAACCTACATGCATATATTAAAATATAGATACAAAAACACACATACACATATATACCACATTGTGGTATAAATGTATGTGTGAATTCTAATAAGTTCATAAAAAATAACTATTATACACAAAACCCACTCTATTCTACCCGAACAATAGAATTCTCCCCGTGTTATATTTTAAGAATGAAAAAAAACAAACCAATCTTATTATAATACAAATAATTTAAAACAAAACACTAAAGCACAAACAACAACAAAATATAAACATTTTTTATTGAAACAAGAAACAGAAATAAAATCATCAAAAACAAACCACACACCACTCCCATTACCTACTACAATATCAATTGTTATTAGAAATCGAAAATAAAACAAAAAAATAGCAACAAAAACAACAACAACAAACATTCAACATCTTTATTGAAAACGTAAGACAAAAAAAAACGAAAAACAAACAAGCAACAACTTGATCTTTAAGATAATTATAAGAAAGAAAAGGAATAATATAGTAGTTGGTTTAATAATTCTGAGGGAATCAATCATTTTATTTGAAAATTTTCATTTAAAAAATACTTCAAAACAAAAAAAAATAGAAAAGAAATTTAATCATCTATGACCCACGCATTAATAATGGTAGAAGAATACAGGTAGATGCAACAACGCTTGGGAACATTGATATGTCAAAAAATTTTAAATGTCATTTCAAATATAAGTAGATTTTTATATGTATGTTTTTATATGACGACGTCAATCGAAGGTTATTATAATACGCGTTTTTCAAAAATGTTTACAAATTTAAATAATTTTTCATTCAACATTTTCCATTCCAAATTTGGTTTGACAGTTCATTGTACCAGCAGATGTGTCGATGCGTCTACATATATTATTCTACCATGGTAACCATGTACATTTGCTATTTATTTTGAAATCGTAAAATAAATTAACCACATGTCAAATCGCAAAGATTTTCAACGAACTTATAGAGTAAAGCTGCAATAAGAACGTGTGTCAATTGTGCAAAAACCTTAACCATGACACAATCAATAGAAACTCCCATGGTAGAAGAATACAGGTAGATGCATCAACGCTTGGGAACATTTATATCTCAACATTTTTTTATTGTTTTTTTTTTTTTTTTTCAAAATTAAGTCGATTTGTATATATTTTCCTATACGACGCCAATCGGAGATTGTTGTAATATGAATTTTTCAAACAATTATTCCAAATTTGAATAATTTTCCATTCAAAAATTTCAATTCCGAAATTGGTTTAATAGTTCAATGTCCCAGCAACTGTGCGTCGATGCGACTACCTGTATTTTCCTACAATGTTTTCCACGAACTTGTAGAGTAAAGCTCCAATAATAACGTGTGTCAGTTGTACAAAAACGTTAACCGTGGCACAATCAGTGGGAACTCCATTTGAGCAGTTAATCCCCTTATTGTGATTTAAATCACAGTACAAAATATAAACAGCCAAAAAACGTAAACAAGTTTTGAAATTTCGCGTGATAAACATGGTAGAAGAATACATGTCATCATTTATAAAATGTTTTGTCAGAAATAAGTAGATTTTTATGTGTTTTCTTACACGACGCAAATCGGAGGTTGTTCTGTTTTAACGAATTTTAATAATTTTTCATTCAAAAATTTCAATTACAAAATTGGTTTGACAGTTCATTGTCCCTGTAGCTGTGTCAATGCGACTACCTGTATTCTTTTACCATGTTTTCAACTGTAAAGCTGCAATAAGAACGTGTGTCAGTTGTGCAAAAACGTTAATCATGACACAATCAGTAAGAATTCCATATGCGCAGCTGATCATCTTATTGTGATTGAAATCACAGTACAAATTAATAACAAACGACCAACAAAACGTAAACAAATTTTGATGTATTTTTGTTTTGGTTGTGTTATTGCACCATGGCTATAACCTCATTTCATAAAAGTGTATATTTTATTTTTAAGATTATAATAGGACGTAAATTGTTGGATGGGTAAATCTTTTGAAATATTTAAGGTGCAAAAGATCAAAGCTTATATGTATGGCCAAACAATAACGGGAAAATACAAAACTGTTGTCAGTTTAAAATGTCATATATTTTACTACATCTGTCATGTTTAAAATCACAATAATTGTCAACTTTGTAATTAATAATTTGGTGGTCACATTACCATTTAATGCATTTTGCAAGGCCCATTAAAAATTCGTGGAAGAGTAATGAATAACTACCATTGGGATTAAAACCCCGTTATACTTTTAATACACAATTACATGCATTTTGACAGTACAGATAAAATCAGCTGGTCTTATTCGCATTTAAATGTTTAGGCTGCCTGGGAACATGTTGAATTTTCTTTAAATACTCAAAACAAGAACAAACCAGTATTTTTTACGTCTCCGGGGAGATTTACTTAGTAATAGTACGTTTACATAGAAATATTACTAATGGTTAGCCCAATCACAATAGATGTGACTATGGAAAACTTACGTTAAAATTATTGTGACTTCTCAATTATCACAGTTTATTTGGGTAAAGACTTCACATGTAAACGTTTTATAAGTTCTTATGGGAGAGTAAGGAAGATATCTCATTTTTCGAGAATTCCCAAAAGTATTTAATTTAGCAATCTCCAACGAGCTACCATAAATAACTATCCAGAAAACAGCTGATCGAAACAACAAATCGAACGTGCCAAATATTACTAGGCATTTTCGCCCCCAGCGATGTCCAGTAAACTCCCAGCACACTCTCTTTCACTTGACAATATGCCGTGACATATTCTATCAATTTTTACAATATATCTAATAAAATGACACTCATTTTACAATCATGTGTTGAGAACATTGTTGTATATTTTGTTAAATACTTTGATATCCTTTATAATTACCTGTATTATACTATTTTTCATTAAAATTCAATTTCAAAGCTTTAAACAAAACAAAAATTTAAAAACAATTTATTTTTATAAATTAAAAACAAATTGATTTTTATTATTTTTGTTTTTGGGTTATTTTGTGTTTTCCTATTTATATAAGGCGTTCTATGTACTGTTTGTAGTTGTTCTTAAAGTTAAATATAGAGTTTCTTAATACAATTTTCAATTTCCCCCCGGTATTTCTCCCAGTTTATTACAAAATAAACCAAATAAGCAGGATTATATCACTGCAATTTTCATTTGATTTGGAATTTTTTCTTAACATCAATGTCAAATAAATTGTCATAAATCGAAAATTTGTAATAATGTAAATGCTGTTTAATTGTTGTATTTATATAAATAGTTAAATAGCGTTCACAGAGATCTATCTTCATTATATAAATATGAAAAACATCAAAACTGAAAACTATGCAAACATAAACAAAAATATTGAGTAACGGCGATCAAATACTCAACAAAATATCTAGGTACATACACAACACATTACATTTGTGTAATAATATTTACGAAATAGTTAAGGACATTATGTGAACACAACAAGAAAACGAACAAAAACCTTACCTGCATTTCATTGAATTCCTTTAAAAAAAAAAACCTAATGAGGCCCATCAAACCAATCTCTAAAAGACGAATAACTCAAAATCCCCTTAGATGCAATCTAGCAACAAAAAAGAAAACAATATTCAAAAACATCTGTATTCTTCATTACATATTCACATTTAAATAAAAAAAAACAAAAACATAAAACAAAGAATAAAAACATCATTTATGAATGTAATCAAGATTTGATGGTGTTTTATTTTCTAAATAGTTTCTTAGGAAAGGGAAGAATTTTAAAGTTGTTAGATTTTTATTCATCCACGAATAAAAAAAAACATCGGATTTGGGACATATATAACTTTGGCACTAACTAAAAGTATGTTTACATATACAAAATCCAGTGAACTTCAACTGACAATTCCATAGTATATTTGACATATCCACAATGTGGCAACGTTTGTGGTATTTTTTAAATCTAATCTTTAGATTCATTTGAAAAGTTACCCAAAAACTATTAATTTCTTTGAAAAAACATTCCAGTGAATTTCTCTTGTATATTAAAAAACGAAACATATTTTCATGTAAAGTGTATGCATCAACGCTTGGTAACATTGATATGACAAAATTTTAATTTTTTTTTTCAAAAATAAGTAGAGTTTTATAAGTTTTCTTTTACGTCACCAATCGGATTATGATATACATTTTCAACAATTTTTACAAATTTGAATAATTTTCCATTTGAAATTTTCAATTTCCAAATTGGTCCTACTTTTTTTTGTCAAAATGCATTTGTTTTTGTGAGCTAGGTGTTTATATTTTTTATTGTTATTACTTTGCGCTTCCTTATACTTTTAATTATCGTGTCCTTCTATTCTTCGGCATTATTCAACTGTTTTTCCTTTTCATTTGACATAAGGTCTTGTCTGGTATAAACGCCAGGTTAGTACATTACCTTACACCACCAACTAACCTTGACGAACGACACACTATTTCATGTAAGGTCTTACTTTCCGTTTTAATTCGTTACGTCACTAACTAATCGAGGTCTTAGTCCAGGACTAGGCATGAATAGTTTGGCTAAGAAATTGGGAGGCAACATTTTTAAATCTATTAAGAAGAGAAATAAAGTGCTAATGAAAAATACGAAAGAGCACAAAGAAGAGTCAAGACAACAATTAGAATAAATCCCCTAATGTAAAACAACATTTGGTCTTTGCAATTGCTTCTGCTTTTAAACATGAACGTAAGAGTTGATAAGTGACCTAAAGAAGAAGCAGCGGACCAAATATGAAAAAAATTTAAAATAAAGCCATGGTAAAATTAAGAAGGTAAAGTCATTTCAAATAAGCATTCCCATCTCTGCATTTTCTGTAACCTACCTTGTCAAATTTTACGGCATAGAAAATAGGTTCCCACCTCTGATTTGTGTGTATACAATGGATTTGTAAACATAAATTTTGACAATGAGATGTTGTCAAATTAATAATTTTGAAAAAGTTGTCATATGATTGCATGACTTTACCTTCTTAATTTTAACAAGAATAAAACAATTTGCTCATTCTTGTTATTTCCCTACCTTTTCCACTGTATTGTCTGTCCATAAAAAGTTAATCGTCAATACTCTCATCTCAGGTGGCATCACTGTTAATTTTCAGTGAGCTATCATTTCCAGTGATTAGCCGAAAGCAACAGCTGATGGCCGTTATGTATTGCACATTCGTAAACAACAACAGAGTTTTCGATGATTTTGCTTTCTGTTTATATTTATCGGGCATTATCTGTTTGTCTTCTTTGTTGGAACGTCTTATATTTCAGTTGGTTTCCACAAAACACCACATCTAAGGATCTAAGGTGGCGATAAGAAAGATAAGAACCACAAAAACTAAGGTCGATCCAGCAGCATAATTCGACAATAATTTTCGTATACTTATGACAACAATCATAATGTTATTGTAAAAACACATCTAATTTTTCGGGTTTCGCGGCGATAAGACCACAACTGGGGTCAATCCAACAGCATAATGCTGAATAAATTTGCTCTCATACGCAGTGAGTGCCAACAAAATATCTATGTTGTGCTATTGTTGTCTACCCTGGTGCTGACTGCAATTACCCTATACAATGCCTTCTACAAGGCTCATCGGCTGCATGGAGAAGACAATTTTAATCGTATATCATTGGATCTGAACGATATTGGAGAGATACGTCTGACAGAGTCCATAGATCGTACCCGGCCACGCCGTAGTAATTGTACAATTTGGACATGTATGGATCCCTATCGATGTGGGCATGATCGCATAACGGTGTATGTGTATCCCCTGCAGGAGTATGTGGATGCAAACAGCGGTGTTGAGGCAGCTCCTTTGACCCAGGAATTCTATCAGATTTTGGAAACCATTGTGAAAAGTCCATATTATACCACCAATCCGAATGAGGCATGTCTGTTTGTGCCCAGCATTGATCTGATAAATCAGAACAATATTAATTTAGATTTGGTAAATCGTGCTTTGGCTTCGCTAAACTATTGGGATGATGGACGGAACCATTTCTTGTTCAACATGTTGCCTGGAGTGTTTCCCACATTTAATACAGTGCTGGATGTGAATACAGATCATGCCATGATTGCCGGTGGTGGCTTTGATTCGTGGTCATATCGCCATGGTTTTGATATATCAATACCGGTATGGAGTCCGTTGTTGCGTAAACATCCGTTGGCGACTTCATACAGTGGCGGTTCTGCGGACTATTTACTGCTGGTGGCCCAATTGAATATATTACCCAAAATGCTGTGGATCTTACAGGGATTGGCTGAGGAAAATCCCAAAGACATTTTACTTTTACAGCAGTGCAATAATAAGCCATCACGAAAGACCAGATGTCTGGCGGCAGACAATGGACATGAAATTTCATATCCCAGTGTTTTGCTTAAGGGTACATTTTGCCTTTTGGGTCCCAGCCTGAGACTTGGTAACCCAGATCTCTTAGAAATGCTGGCCTTCAATTGCATACCGGTAATAGTTGTGGATAGTTATATTCTACCCTTTGAGGATGTCATAGACTGGTCGTTGGCCTCGGTAAGAATACGGGAGGCCGACATACACTTGGTTTTGGACACCCTGAAAAGTATATCCTCAGAAAAAGCCGAAGAAATGAAGCAACAGGGCCGCAGACTCTATGAGAATTACTTTAATAGCATCAGAACCCTAACCATTACAACTTTGGAATATATACAGTGTCGTTTGTTTCCACACACCGAACGAAATAAGAAACATTGGAATTTCGTTGATAGCTCAAATGGCGTGGCATTGAATCCTTTGTTTTTGTCCCGGGTTGTCAGTAGGTCAGATGGTTTTACTGCTGTTATATTGACATATGATAGGGTGGAAAGTCTGTTCCTGTTGATAGAGAAATTGTCGGTGGTGCCTTCGTTGCATGCCATATTGGTGGTGTGGAATAATCAGCAAAAAGCTCCTCCCCTATGTAAGTTTATTCGAACATATATATGATTTCTTATTTATTCTTAATCCCACCTTGGGTTTATAGTATCAAGCTTCCCAGCCATATCGCGACCAATTAAGGTAATACAAACCAGTAACAATCGCCTATCAAATCGTTTCTATCCCTATAAGGATATTGAGACTGAGGCCATACTCACCATTGATGATGACATAAATATGCTGACCGAGGATGAAGTGGAATTTGGGTAAATATATCAATTCATTTTCAAAATATCTTTTTTATAGAAAATATTTTTCGAATAGTTATGAGGTATGGCGTGAATTTCCCGATCGTATTGTTGGCTTTCCCAGTCGCCTGCACGTGTGGGAAAATTTGACCTCCCACTGGCGTTACGAGTCAGAGTGGACAAATCAAATCTCAATGGTACTTACCGGCGCCGCTTTCCATCACAAATACTGGAGTCACATGTACACGTATCGAATGCCCGAGGTCATTAAAGACATTGTTGATGGCCGCATGAATTGTGAAGATATTGCAATGAATTTTCTAGTAGCCAATGTCACCAATAAACCACCCATCAAGGTGACACCCCGTAAAAAATTTAAATGTCCCGAATGTGCTAACAATGAAATGCTTTCGGCTGATTTAAATCATATGCGTGAACGATCACGTTGCATAGATGAATTCACCCATATTTATGGTCGTATGCCATTGAGAACAGTGGAATTTAGAGCAGATCCGGTATTGTTTAAGGATAATTTCCCTGAAAAGTTGAAACGTTTCAGTGACATGGGAACCCTGTAAAGGGGGATAAGTGCTAAAGAAAAGAAGACGCAGCCAAAGAAGCAAACAAAATTTAAATTACTAGACGAAAGAAATTAAGCTTAAATTAGTTGTAGTTGTTGTAGTTTGAATCTACATATCGCCATAATAATAATAGTAATTAATAACAATATATAACAATATATTCGAATAAAATTCATTCCATTGGACTTAAATACTCATATAAATGTTCTTGTTTTTCTTACACTATAGTGGCGGGGAATGGGTTATTAAAGTAGGTTATCAGGGTTAATCCTGACAATTGATCATAAGAAACATACGCTAAAGTTAACCCTGATTATTGACCAATTGGCTCTGTTCCAGAACAGCAAGAATGTAAAAATTTTGCTACAATAACTGATTTTTCTTTATTTTATAGAAGAAAACTGGAAATAAGTAGATCATTGGTACATACCATTAATTGAATGTACATTTTTTAGGCAACTTTATTGAGATTGGTCCATTATCAGGAATAGTCCGGGTAGAGGTTTTATGTGCAATAACATGGTACCAAAAAAAAAATTGCAACCAGTTGATAACAATTTTTTCTGAGTGTACTCGACATATGTCACTCCTTTGATATAAGACTTTGATATAAAAGTCTTAAGAATTGTATTTCGAAGCGCAAATAGAAGAAAACTAAGAGAAATATCAAATTATTGTCAAACACTTATAACATGTCATTTAAAATATTTCTGGTATTACTTGGAAACTGTTTTACCTCCTTAATGTACCATGGGCAAAGGTACTTTTAAAAAGATAAAAAAATTAAAAATCGCCAATTGAAGTCAAAAGTCGATCTTCACATCCCTACTTTACAAAGCAAGCAAACATTTGTGCTGTACTTCATGCCAGTTTATTTTCCTTGAAGTCAAAAATCGATCTTCACATCCCTACTTTACAAAACGGACAAACATTCGTTCTATACACTTTAAATTTCTTCATGCCAGTTATTTTTCCATTTTATTCTTCCTGTTTTCTGCAATTCATATAAATGAATGTCCAGAAATAAATAAGAAAAGATCAAAAGCATCCAACAATCGATCTCTCTATAAATCGACTTTCTTTCGATTAGTCAAAAGTCGACTTAGACATCTCTACTTTGCAGCATAAATAACGGCTCATTCTGCAAAATCTTTCTTTGAAATTGTCGTTTGTTCGTGTCGTAGTACTTTTTCCCATTGTGTATTTATTTTATATTATTTTGCAAGAAAATTTACTTTTTTTATTATATTCCAACATTATCGACCACCATGTCGTCGTCGACAAATGAAATTTTGCATTTTTATGTCTCGGAACAACTGAACAGCTTTAGCCGCGAAAAAAGATGCTGTATGAAGTACATGGGTCATTTGTTTGAAATTGATCCGCAATTCTTTGCAAAAATTGTCAAGGATTTGCGTCTGCGCATGCGACCACACATTGATAACAATGGCCAGGAATCGGTTGTTGTTTTTAAGGATAAATGTTCACACAATACAGCGGAAATTGTGGACTTAAAGTTGACCACGGAATCATTGAAGGATATGTATAGGTTCCATTGTGGCTCAGATTTTTGTGGTAGTCAGCAGGAGTTTGAAATGTCGAGTGATTTTTTTAGTCCCGGCAATGTACCACCCACCGTGCCACCACATCGTTTTTCGTTGGGTCCATTGAAACAGTCCATTGCCCGTTGTAATGAGATGGGCCAGCAAAGCTTTCAACGCAAAAGTCCCATGCAGCGGTATAAGCAAATGATTTTAGAGGCCTTATCGCGTAGTCGAGTTGTGGTGGTAAATGGTGGCGCCACATTTGGCAAGTCCACTGCCATACCCATGTACATCATTGAGCAGTGTAGCCAAGAGAAACGGCATTGTAAAATAATTTGTGTAGAACGCGAACAATTGGTGGCCATACACAATAGTGAGCTGCTGGCCGGACATTTTCATGAAAAAGTCGGTGAAACTGTGGCCTATCAGGTACAACTTCAGAGTCGAATAAGTGACTCATCCAATCTGGTCTATACTACTTCGAGTTTTTTGTTACGTGTCCTCATGGGCCAGTCCATAATGGACAGCTTTCGTCATATATCCCATTTGGTTGTGGTTGATGCTCATCTCCATGAGGCCTTTTCCGATTTGTTGTTGCGTGAATTGAAAGTGGCCCTAAAATATCATCCATATCTAAAGGTGATTTTACTCTCCAACTACAGTCGAAATTATGAATTTCTACAGTATTTCGGTGAGGGAGAAGAAATAAGTTTGGAAATGAATAATGATATGATCAAAAATCAAGTATTTTATTATGAAGATATACGTAAGATTCTGTCGGAAAGTGCACCATCAGTTGGGATTCGTAAAGCATTTAAAACACTGCCCATTACGTTGGCAACCGGCCACAGCCACAATAATAATGATATGCAAACAAATCTAATTCAATTGGATAAATGTTTGGAGACCTATGAACGCACTGCCCACGATCAATGTTTTGAATTTTTCCTCTATATGGTGCAAGGAGAACAGGCCAACATAAATCATCGTCATAGTGTTACGGGTAGAACGGTACTCAATATTGCCGCCATGCTGGGCAAAGTAGAGCATGTCAAGATCCTGCTACATTTGGGTGCTGATCCCTTTATTACCGATAAGCTAGATGTGGATGCTTTAAAGGTGGCCATCTCTATGAGTAATTTGGAATGTGTAGAGCTGCTAAAAGTGGCCTATTTTGAAAAGTCGCCACAAATCAAGGAAACTCATGTTGATAATTTACTTATTTTGGATTTAATAAATATGTTGGCAACAAAAAATGATGTTTGGATAAGGGGTAAGATTTTAAACATAAACTTCACTCAAATTGATGTAAATGTTTTCTTTTTTTGTTGCAGGTAACATTATTGTCATTCTGCCATCTTATCAACACCTAATACAACTGAACTATACTATATTAAAGGAGAAGCTATTGGGTAGTCTTCCCCAACAAATTTCCATATTTATGCTGCACAATCACACAGAAAAGGCACATTTGGATGCCATGATTGCCAGCGATCCGAAAGTGATCAAAATAATACTGAGCACTGATATTGCTGAAACTTTGATGTGTTTTGATGACCTCCAGTATGTCATTGATGTGGCAAGGCAATATCGTACGGTCTTCGATAGTGAGACTCAGTGCAAGAAACATGTCTATGAGTGGTCATCGAAACAGAATTTGGAAAATCGTCGTTTATTGGTGACACAAAATGGTGGTGAGAATAAACATAAAATTTCCTTTCTTTAAGATCGTGGATATAAGACATGGATTTCCAAAAAAAAAAGACATTGCATTTTTATACCTCCCACCATTGTATGGAGATATTTTGTTCGGTATTTTATTGATTTTAGCGAAAATATTCACCGGAATTGTTTCAAATTTGGTGTTTGAAGCTCGTAATGCATGCTACAGCCTAAGACGGAAATTTTTCTGTTCAGGGTCACGACTTCGTATAGCCACCATATAACGATACCTCCCGATATTCGGTATTTTGATGATTTTAGCGACATTATTCACGGGAATTGTTTCAAATTTGGTATTTGAAGGTCATAATGGATACTGCAGCCTAAGGCAGAAAATTGTCTGTGCAGGTTCACGTCTTCGTATAGCCCCCATATAACGATTCCTCCTGATTTTGGGTATTTTGATGATTTTAGCTGCATTATTCATCCGAATTGTTTCAAATTTGGTGTTTGAAGCTCGTAATGAATACTACATCCTATGACGGAAAATTGTCTGTGCAGGTCCATGTCTTCGTATAGCCCCCATACAACGGTACATCCCGGTATTCGATATTTTGATGATTTTAGAGACAATATTCTTCGGAATTCTTTCAAATTTTGGCATTTAAAGTTCGTAATGAATACTGCAGCCTAAGACAGAAAATTGTCTCTGCAGGTCCACGTCTTCGTATAGCCCCCATATAACGGTAACTCCCTATATTCGGTATTTTGGTAATGCGGGTCCACATCGTCATATAGACCCTAATATAACGGCTACATTCGGTAATTTTAAGATTTTAAAAGAATTTTTAACGGATTTTTTTTTTTGAAAATTGCCAAATTCGTTCCAAATGGACTTACAGCTTTTTTAATAATTATTAATGTTTTAAAATGTCATTAAAGTTTTCTCAAAGGCCATTGAAATTCTTTGTAAATTTTCAAAGATCAAAGAAATCACGGCTATGATCCTCCAAAAATTTTCCGATATTTGGTTATTTGAATAAAATGATTGGTCTTTTGTCAAAGATCACTGCCATTATCATTTGCCAATCCTTGTCAAATATTATTGGCCATTGGCCAAAGATTTGCTCTGTTTCGGCAAGAATCTAAAAATGTGTCTGCTTTATGAATTTGCAGGTTCTGGGACACCCAAATTATTATTGTCAGGGGTCACTTTTTTCATTTTTTTATTAATTTTCTTTGATCTTTTGTCAAAATCGCTAATATCTCCTCTTTTTCTTTTAATTTCACATTTTCAAAACTTTTCAGGTGGTGCCTGTTTTCATCTGCTGCCCCTGGAACAATACAAACAATTGCCCGAAGTTCAGACACCCGATTTATTAAGCAAACCCCTGGATCGTGTTTGCCTGGCTGTAAAATTGCTATCTCAACACACCATGGTGTCGGAATATCTACAAGAGACCATTGTACAACCGCCATTCACAAAGGTCTATCAAGCTGTGGAACATCTAAAGAAAATAAGTGTTTTCACAGATCTGGAAGACATTACATGGCTTGGTTGTCGTCTCATTGATGTGCCCGTCGAATGTCACTTGGGTAAATTATTGGTATTTGCCATTCTGTTACAATGTCTAGATCCCATTTTGACGATTGTGAGTTTTATGACTACCTTGGATCCATTTGAAACTGCCCACTACTCAGATGATTTACTTGAGCCGCATAGGGATATCGTCAGGCAAAAGCTAAAAAATGAACGTAAACATTTTGCCGAAGGTCATCTTTCAGATCATTTGGTGTTTTTGCGTCTGTATCAAGAGTGGCAGAATGATTTGCGTGACGATAGCATGGATAGCATACCAAGCGGTTATAATTTCACCCTGAATGGTCTGCTGGAATATGTGTGCAATGTTAGGACACAGCTTGTGGGTGCCTTACGTTCATCGCAACTAATTCACAACAAGGGTAACTTGAGTATGCATTACATTAATCTCAAGTCCAATTGTTGGCCCATCATTAAGGCAGCCTTGGTGGGCGGCCTGTATCCCAGTGTGTGTGCCTTGGATAGCCAGTGTAATCGTTTGAAATCACCCAATAAACATGAATTGGTTTTACATCCGGATTCGGTATTACGCGACTTAAGTTTGGATTCCATGAGAGATATGCATTTCAAATCGCCTTGGATAATCTATGGCCAGGCCACAAAAAGCTGGAATTGGAATAGTATCAATTGCAATACAGTGGCAGGTGGCCTGAGTGTGGCTTTATTTGCAGGTAAATTCAATTCAGTTAGGGGTTTGTTAATTTTTGATAATTAATGTTTATTTGTCCAGGCCCCACAAAGCTATCATCCTCCAGCAGTAAAATTACCACTCCATCCAATGCCACAGAATCGTCGGAATGTTTATTACACATTGATGAGTGGATCTGCTTTAAATTGGCCTACAACGAAGCTGCCCTTCTGCTCAAGACACGACAACATTTTTACAACATTTATGTCAATTATCTGCAACATTGTGGTCTTTTGGAAAAATTCAAACGTCCCAATGTCACCAACAGCACCACCAGCACTTCTCAGAACAGCATACTAATTGATTGTATTGAGAAAATCCTTGTGCAGGAAGATCTGGCCAATGGTTTTCCACAACCAGAACGTATTGGACTCAGGCCAAAAGCTGTTCCCAATAAACTTATGATGACACTTAATGGCGGCATGTTAATGGCACCATGCCTATATAGGTCGCAATTTCAAACGTCGGCAGTATCGAAGAATTTGCCAACACCGAATAATGTACCGGTCCCGCAGCGTAGCAAACAATATTTTATGGTTTACCGAAAGGATTTGAATGATGTTGTTGGTGTCGATATGATTATGAATACATCTTCGTTGCGCCACAGTGAATGGTTTCACTTGCTCAACAATTTGTTGGATGCTAAAACGGACTGCAATCGTTTAACTTTTATTATATTTTATACACGCCACCCAGATCTGCTGAGAAGCGTATACATGGTCGATTGGAATAAAGGCTATTTGGAGCTGTATCCCTGTTTTAAATTCAATATAAACCTGCATTGTGTTTTGTAAGTATTTTTATACCCTACACCACAAGGTGGTCAGAGTATTATGTCTTTGTGCATTTGTTTGTAACAGGCAAAAGGAAACGAGATAGACCCATAGTTCCTTTTGATGATTTGTATAAAATCACATTCTGAGTCGATTTATGCATGTCCGTCCGTCCATCTGTCCATGTATTTTTGTAAACAAAGTACAGTTCGCATTTATTGCCCTATCCAGATGATATTTTGCACAAATCATTTGTTTGGCCCAAGGACGAACCCTATTGAAATTGGAGATAATCGGTCAAAATTGAGATATAGCTCCCATATATATCTTCGTCCGATTTGCCTTTTATTGTGCACCAAACGTGCAATATCAGTCCGAATAGTATGGAATTTTGCACGTACGATCAGATTGAACCTGAAAATAAGTATGCCAGATTTAATAGAAATCGGTTCAGATATAGCTATAGCTCCCATATATATTGTTCATCCGATTTGTTATTTTTGTCCTCCGCAGCCGTAATATGCACTCTGTAACAACAATATTTGGGGAAATATATCAAATACAAATCCGAAATACATTTGCTAAATTTTATCGAGATCGGTTCAGATTTGGATATAGCTCCCATATATAACATCGTCCGATTTACTTTTGATTGTGCACCAAACGTCTAATATTTGCCCAAATTGGATGAAATTTGGCACTTACGACCGAGTTGAGTCTAGAAGCTAGAATGTTAAAGGTTTAAATATAGCTATAGCTCCCATATATACTGTTCATCCGATTTGTCATATTTGTTACCCACAGCTGTAATATGCACTCCGTAACAACGATATTCAGGGAAATTTATCAAATACAGCTCAGAAATATCTTTGCCAAATTTTATCGAGATCGGTTTAGATTTGGATATAGCTCCCATATATATTTTTATCCGATTTCAAATTAATTGTGCCACAAATGGGCAATACAAGTCCAAATTTAAAAGATACAAATGCCTCGGCATATTTAGTCCTTTGAACTTTAAATTATAATTATAATCAGCTCTACTAAGTTAGCAAAGTGGTGTAGGGTATCATAAAGTCGGCCCCGTCCGACTTTAAGACTTTCTTTGCTGTTTTTTTTCGAATGGTAATAGTGAAACAATTACCATTCGAAGTGAAGTCGTATATCGTACTTCCCATAGGATTATCATTATCTATTATTAATTTTTTTATATTTTTTTCTTTTCTAGAAACAACGTCAACAATGCCGCCCTATCCATGGCCTTGAGTCAAAGAAGAAACGTCTTTGCCTTGGATCAAAATACTGGTTTATTTATATTAAATATGTTTGCTTATCGTAACAATTGGCTACACAGCAGCAACAATTGAGCTAATTTTATATGAATTTAGCAGTTTTTAGTTTATATTTTATTATGTTTTCATTTTTTATATTTTTTATTTATTTTATTAATAATGTGCCTGAATGAGTATTTTACTTTAGTTTTAAGCATAAAAAAAGAAACGCATTTCGATATTGAATTTTCCATTAGTTTTTTTAATGTATTTTTGTTTTGTTTTTTTGTTTAGTGCATACTTCAATAAATATGTTAAAAATTCTATTCATTATTTTATGAGAAATTTCGGATAGACATAGAATTTGGGAAGATATTCTATATTTTTAATGCTGCTCTTTAATATATATAATTAGGGCAGCTCCAATTGGGGATAAGTAGGGAATAAGTGGGGGAGTGGTGGGAAGGGAAAGTTATGGAAATTGCTTGTCTAAACACGCACACATACAAAATCTCTAGGGTTACAAGAGAAATCTTACAACTAAGTTATTTATGTTAGGTTTTAGTGGGTGTTAGTATCTTCAATAATTTTTAAAGGATTTTGATGTTGTTGTTGTTGTTGCAATTGGTGTTCGTTTAGAAAATTTGATGATATTGACGACATTCCAAGGTCGACATTGAAAGTGGAGTTTCTCCTTGTTATAAGAATATCATCAGCATTATGGACTAGATTTTGATTAACTACAGTATTGTGAGCATCCTGGAAAGAAGAAGAAGAAGGAAGGGATCCAAAAAGGAATTTATAATTTTTTGAATTAAAAAAAAAACGTTTTTTAACTTGAAAATTTTTAATAATATTCTTTTTATTTGCTCTAATGAAGATAAGCATTATTAATTTTTAATGGTTTCTTGTTTCTTCCAATTGTACTTACAGTACTATTCGAGTACAATGGTTCCATTATATGATTTTGCATTATTTGATAACCATCTTCATTTAATATTTCCCCACCAACCATGTTGGATGATGATGACGATGTATTGGTGTTGATATTGCCACTTGCCGCCGTTGCTGTCATTTGATTAATGCTACTTCTACCACCACCACTACTACTGCTAGACACCGCAGATAATGGTGGTGGTTCCTGTGCGAAATTTTTTATTATTACATTTTTTTCGTTTTCAATTAATTTTTACCAAATGAGACTTACATTTTGTTCGAAATATTCAACGAAAAGTGATTCGTAACGCTGTCGTATATTATCAACAACATCCAATAGATTTTTGGCATCCATGGCCAGCACATGGGCGGCCGATAACATGCCTCTGTAAATTAAGAAAAAGGAAGAACAAAGAAATTTTGGATTTTATTATTCATATTTATGTCTAAAAAAGAATAGATATTAGACAAACTTAGAAGAAATTTCCCGCAAAAAATTATGATTTTACTTTTTTTGAGGTTTTTCTTGTTGCTGCCCGTTTTGATCATGATTTTTTTTTAATGTTTCCAAATGGGAAAATTTCACACTCAACTTTATTGCACAGAACCTGCTCATTATACCGAAAATTAAAATTTTCCTTTTTGAGGTTATGTTAAGGTTAATATTTTTTTTTAATTTCCAAAGTATTGTGAATGCATATTTGCATTAAATTCTCAAATTAAGAGCATTGAATCATGAAAATTGTTTATTTAGAGACAATTTTTTGTTTTTTAGGAATTAAAAATTTTGAGGTTATGTTTATCAAAAAATATTTTGGTGTTGCCTGTTTTGATCAAAATAAAATTTTATTTTGAAACGTTAGCAAAATGGAATGTTATTAATTTGTTGCATAAAACCTGTTACTAAAACCAATAATTTACAATTTTCCTTTTTGAGGTTATGTTAAGGTTACTATATTTTTTTTAATGTTCAAAGTATTGTGAATGCATATTTGCATTAAATTCTCAAATTAAGAGCATTTATATCATGAAGCCCGTAAAAATTATTAATTTAGAGAAAAATTTGTGATTTTATGCATTTAAATTTTTGAGGTTATGTTTATCAAACAATGTTTTTGTTGTTGCCTGTTTTGATCAAGTTTTTTAATGCTTCAAAATGGAATTTTATTTTTTTTTTGCAAAAAAAAAAAATACAAAAAAATTACAATTTTCTTTTTTGAGGTTATGTTAAGGTTAATATTTTTTAATTTCCAAAAGAATTGAATGCATATTTGCATTAAATTCTCAAATTAGGAGCATATAATCATGAAGTCAATAAAACTATTTTATTTAGAGACAATTTTTTTGATTTTAGGAATTAAAAAATTTGAGTTTATGATTATCAAGCAATGTTTTCGGTGTTGCTTGTTTTGATCAAAATAAAATTTCATTTTGAAACGTAGCAAAATGGAGCAGCATAAAACCTGCTGCTAAAACCAAAAATTTACAATTTTCTTTTTTGAGGTTATGCTAAGATTAATATATTTTTTTAAAAAACCAAAAAGCATTGTATGCATATTGCTTAACATTTTCAAATTAATAACATTTCGTCGTAAAACCCATAAAATATTGTTCATTTAGGGAAAGTTTTATGCTTTTATTTTTTAGGGTTATGTTGCATTAAAAAATATATATATATTTTTTTTTATATTTTGAAGCAAGTTAAAATGTTCAATGAATGACAACAAAAATAATGTTATAATCATATATAATTTTGTGTTAATATTATTCAGTTATATTAATATTTCTTGATTTAAACTTTTTTCTTCCTTTAGGGTTATGTTGCATTAAAAAAAATATTTTTTTTCTATTTTGAAGCAAGTTAAAATGTTCAATGAATGGCAACAAAAATAAAGTTATAATCACATACAATTTTGTGTTAATATTATTTAATTATATTAATATTTTTTGATATCAAGTTTTTCTTCCTTTTTTTGAGGTTATATTTGATTTCCAATAAAATAGAATATTGTTTCTATCAATTTGATTTATAATAAAGTCTCAAATTAATAGTATTTAATCGTAAAACCCATAAAAATTGTTCATTTAGTGAAAGATTTATGAAAGTTTTATTTTTGAGGTTATGTTGCATTAAAAACATACAATTTTAATTTTGAAAGAAATTCACGCCCTTTAAAATCTTCAATGAATAGCAACCAAAATAGAATTATATTCGTATACAATTTTGCGTAAATATTATTTAATTATATTCTTGTTTTTTTTTTTTAATTTCAGTTTTTTTCTCCTTTTTTTGAGGTTATCTTGGATTTCCAATAAAATGGAATATTGTTTTTTTTTTTTTTTTTAATTTGAATCTACTTACTTTTTATATTCTACATCTAATGTAGTATCACTGTACTGTTGTGCCAATTTCATGGCTGCCACCAGTTCATGCATATCCTTGGGCAATACTTTGTGGGCCATTTCCACTTCTCTGTAACAAAAAACAGGGAATAATAAGTTATCATATAGAACAAAGAACTTTCTACAGAACATAATTCTAAGCTTTATTGAGATCCTTTATGAGAAGAAATCCTATGGAATCCGTAAAAAACTCCATTTGGAATAACATTGAACTTACTTTGAGGCTTCGCCTGGTATTAAAGGTGACAAATGATCCACCGATTGCAACAATTTACGCAATTCAAAACCAATGTTCTTAACCAATTCCAGGAAATTATTACTCTTGTGTTCGCCCACCTCCTGTGACAGAGTTATAATTGCCTTCACCACATTTGTGGTGGCTATGTAGACAGCATCCTTGTTACGATTTAGGCTAGGCCTAAGACTATTCTTTTGATGTTGTTGTTCGGTAGCGGACAATAATTGTCGATCGTTCATTGCCATCGTGCTTAGACGATGTGACAGATGATTATTGGCTTTCGTCGATGATGGTGGTGGTGGTGGATAACAACTGCTTTCACTTAGACTGGAAGAACTATTGTTGATGTTGTCATTCAACGATGAACACAGCGATGATGATGGGGCAGCATGTGTCTGTTGGATGTTGTGTGGGTGGTGGCTTGGCGTTTCCACATCACGGCTAAGGGAGGTTTTACGGGGTTTCTGTTTTGGAAAGCAAACAAAGAGTTCAAAAGGTAATGTTAGATTTTCTTTTAACTTTCGAAAAGCTCAAGCATTTCATTGGCATTTAAATTTTCTTAGATCCAAAAGAAAATGTTTGGCCAATGAAAATATTTGTATTCATTTCTTTAACATTTCGAGGACTACAAAAAAAAAAAAATAAAAATTACAAATCTAAAAAAATTGATCTCCATTGCATCAAGTCCCACTCCACATGGGTAAAGTTTGTCGGAAAGATAACTGCTTTTTGAGAAAAGGGCGAGCGAGAGGATAGGAAAAATAACTCAACTCCCTTCTTTCCCCAAAATACTTCATTTCCTTTTCCGTCAACTCTTCCCCGTGTGTTTACGGACCAGCAAAAAAGAAACAAAAATATAAAATTATCTAAAAAAAATCAACCAAAATTCTATAAAAGAAAAAAAAAGAAAAATTCCTAATATTTAACAACAAATATACGTCTCTAAAAAAAATATAAAACAAAATGAATTAAAAAGTAAAAAAAAAAACACAACAACAGTTCAAGCATCAACGAAACTGAAATGTCAAAAACCAAAGAACATCCATCTAAAAATTGGGGGGTTGGGAAAGAATTATTTTCAAACCTCCGTCAGTTGTAGCATTGAATTGCTGTTTTTAACCTCTGAATCCATGGTTGGTTGGGGCATCATTTCCATACTTAATGGTGGCTGCTGTATCTGACCGGCCGCCATCATTATGGAGGCTGGTTGTTGTTGCTGCTGCTGCTGCTGTGTTATACCCGTGGCACTGATACTCTGAGCCATTTGTTGTTGTTGCTGTTGATTTATTCTCTGTGGATCATAGCCACCATAGATAAAACCATTACCCGGTGCCATGGGCGTATACAATTGCCCTGGCAGCATGCCACCACCACTGTTTGGTGCCTGCAACTTATTTGCTGGACAAACATCATAGATTTCCTCCTCAAATGCCTTGTACTCGGGCGAGTTTTTCATGTGATTTTTAAAGGCCAAAAATGAAGAGTACGCTTCTAAACTACCTGAACGCGAATATGATTTGGGAAAATCTCGACTATTGTGAGCGGAACGCTCTAGACTAGCACTACGTGGTACACACTTGCGTGGTCCAGCAGCATTAAGGGGACTTATTAGGGATTTATTGCGTTCCAATGAACCACCAATCGATCGCGTGCAATTGTTATTTTGAAAATGTGGTGGCATAACATTGCGTTCCAAACTACCACAGTGAGTGGTGTGAGGAATGTGACGATTTATGGGTGGATTACGACCGAAATCATAAATCATTTGGGTGCGTTCTTCTTGACCCAATGAGGCTGATTTGGTCGCGGTTATGGTTGAGTGGGGCATGTGAAACATGCCCTCTGGTACCATAACAAACTGGGGCACCATTGTGGTAAAACCCGACAAGTGTCCCCCACCATCATGGACATGTGTGACAAATGGTTGCCTTATGGAGCCACCGCCACCACCACAAGCATGATGAGGATAGGGCATTTGCTGTTGCTGTTGTGGCTGACAGTCTGTGGTAAACATTTTACTTTGCTGTTGCTGGGTTGTCTTAATCGTCTGTTGTTGTTGTTGCGCTTGAGTTTGAGCTTGAATTGTTGCCTCATTATTCGCTTTTTGTTGCATCATTTGTTGTTGTTGTTGTTGTTGTTGCTTATCTTGTTGTAGCCTATGCAAAACTGTTGCCTTCTCTTCCCTGGTTATTGTATTGTCTAATTTTAGAAATTCCGAAACCGGAAGTTTACTTGTCTTTAAAGCTATATCATTATTGGTGGTCTTGCTAGTGTCTACATCTACAGCTAATGTATTAAATACCGAGGCAGGTGTTGTATAGGCTGCAGGATTAATGCCACGATTTTCATTTTCCTTCATAAGACGTGCCAATATTTCGGGATTTTGTGCTATAATATACGTCTGGGGGCTAAGGGCACTAGAATTTTTATCCCCAGCGTTGGAAGAAAATTTCGAGTTGTCTGCAAAGGAAAAATTACAAATTTTTAAAAATACCAAAACAAACCACAACAACAATTCTTACCACCAACTAATTGTGGTGTCTTTGATGGTTTCGAGGGTGGCATATCCAAATCACTGTTACTATTGACCATGGAAAAGAAACCAGAATTTTCTTTATTCATGGAATCAAAACCAGCAGCTCGTTCTTCAATGAGAATTTCACTAAAAAGAAAATGTGTAATTTGTAACATTTTCCCCATAAATTTTAAAAGAAAAAAAAAACTTACTAAAGTGTCTCCTTGATTCTTTTGAAATTGGGCCGTTTCGAGGGCTCATAGGTCCAACATTGTGACAGTAGGGAATACAATCTGGGTGGACAATTGTTGGGGAATGGTAAACGTTCGCCATTTTCCAATTTGGCAATAATGTCACTATTCTTAATACCCTGGAATGGTTTAACACCCAACATCAAAATCTCCCAGGCACAGACGCCTAAACATGACATGGAAAATTAGGAATTAAACAAACTAAAAAAAGTAAACATTTTAAACATTATTTACCAAACATCCAAACATCACTGGCAATGGTGAATCTACGAAAGTTAATCGATTCAGGAGCCATCCACTTAATAGGCAGCATACAAGTACTGGAATGATAATACGATTGTTCCGATACCCAGCGGGATAAACCGAAATCAGCCAACTAGAATAAGAACAAAACTATTAGCTTACGTATGTACTACATAGGGGGAAAATATCTTGAGATGGAAATTTTAATACCCTCCACCATTTGGAAGGAACTTGAAAAATTGAAAAAGAAAATTCCGAATACTAATACTTAAATGAAAACCGTTATATGGGGACTATACGAAGACATGAACCTGCATACGAAATTCATAGGCTGTAGTACCCATTACGAACTTTAAATACGAAGTTTGTAACAATTCCGGTGAGTAAAGCCGCGAAAATCATGAAAATATCGAATATCGGGAGGTGCCGTTATATGGAAGCTATACGAAAACGTGGCCCTGTAAATAATGTCGCTAAAATCATGAAAATACCGAATATCGGGAGGTATCGTTATATGAAGGCTATACGAAGACGTGGACCTGCACAGACAATTTTCTGCCTTAGGTTGCAGTATCCATTACGAAGTTCAGATACCAAATTTGAAAAAATTCCGAGGAATAATGTCGCAAAAATCATCAAAATACCGAATATAGAGAGGTATCGTTATATGAGGGCTATGCGAAGACGTGGACCTGCACAAACAATTTTCTGCCTTAGGCTGCAGTATCCATTACGAAGTTCAGATACCAAATTTGAAACAATTCCGATGAATAATGTCGTTAAAAGCATCAAAATATCGAATATAAAGAGGTACCGTTATATGGGGGCTATACGAAGACGTAGACCTGCACATACAATTTTCTGCCTTAGGCTGCAGTATCCATTAGGAACTTCAAATACGAAATTTGAAACAATTCCGGTGAATAATGTCGCAAAAATCATTAAAATACCGAATATCGAGAGGTACCGTTATATGAGGGCTATACGAAGACGTGGACCTGCACAAACAATTTTCGGCCTTAGGCTGCAGTATCCATTACGAAGTTCAGATACCAAATTTGAAACAATTCCGGTGAATAATGTCGCTAAAATCATCAAAATATCGAATATAGAGAGGTATCGTTATATAAGAGCTATACGAAAACGTGGACCTGCACAGACAAATTTCCGTCATAGGCTGTAGTATCCATTACGAACTTCAAATGCCAAATTTGAAACAATTCCGGTGAATATTTTCGCTAAAATCATCAAAATACCGAATATCGAGGGGTACTGTTATATGGGGGCTATACGAAGACGTGGGCCTGCACAGACAATTTTCTACCTTAGGCTGCAGTATCCATTACGAGCTTCAAATACCAAATTTGAAACAATTCCGGTAAATAATGTCGTTAAAATCATGAAAATACCGAATATCGGGAGGTACCGTTATAGGGGGACTATACGAAAACGAGGACCGACATGACCCATTTACGAACTTTACCTGCCTACTGGAAAAATATGCATATATGGCCAATTTTAGTCTTCTATCTTAATTCATTCGAAAGATAGCGTGATTACAACAGGCAGACAGACGTACATCGCTAAATCGTCTTAGAATTTTACGCTGATCCAGGGTAGGGTCTGTCATGAATATTTCGAGGAGTTACAAACGGAATGACAAAACTAATGATTATATTTCTCTTTTTAGAAAACCTTTAGAAGCTCCACTCCCCAGAATAATGTGAAAGGTTTTCTGTCTCTAAAAGACCTTGTGAAGGTTTTCAGATTTGAGAAGGTCTTTGGACGGCCTACTCTTCTCTATTTATAAACTGATTCAATTGATTTTCGGTATCTAAAGAACGTTCTGAAGGTCTTCTCTGAGTGGGCGTGGAAGATTTTTTAAAGAAATGTTTACCCAGAAGGCTTATGTTATGTACTCTGAGTCTAGAATGTATTCTGCGATATGTTGATATATATTCCGTGTATTTTCTTTTCAGAAAAGGCAGTTAAACCCTCTCTGGATGGTCTTGCAAAAAGTTTCTGTCTGTGAGAAGAATGTTATTGGTTTTCATATTTTTAGAAGATCTTCCAATTTTTTTTTCTGTAGAACTCTTTTTTAGAGGTCTTCTGAAATTCCTTTAGAAGTCTTTCCTTTAAAGCGATCTTTGCAATATAGATGAGTTTTTAGAAAAATGCTAAGATAGAAAATCTCCATTCCAGGAAAGACCATTGCTTTATATTGTAGTTTTACATTGCAAAACGAAATTTGTGGTACGACTTCACAATGAAGAGTGTTGCAATCGCAATCTTCTCTTGGCAGTGGTTTCGTTTGTCTTGGCCTCACTCGGCGGTTATTATCATCATCTAAACAAATATTATACCAAGATTATGATGGTGTTGAGACACAAACCTTTATGCAAGTAGGTGAACTAACTAAAACATTGCGTGCTGCTATATCTCGATGCACGAATTTCTTAGATTCCAAATAGCTAAGGGCAGTAGATAGCTGATAACAATACAGCAGCAATGTCTCCCTTCGTAATCTTAAATTAAACAAACAAACAAACACACAAATTAGATGACAAACCAAATTCAAATTCATACTCATAATACAACTTACTTTTCAGCATTCGATTTAAGATATGCTCGCAGTTCACCATATTCGGCTAATTCCATGACAATCCATACTGGAGATTCACTGCATATGCCGATTAAACGGATAATATGGGGATGATCGAATTTTTGCATGACATCTACAAAAGAATGGAAATTTGAAATGCAAAGTCATTTTTTCAAACGGTTTTTGCGGGTACACTTACAGGCCTCTTCGAGGAATCTTTCCATTTTTTCGGGATCATCATTTGTTTTACATGTCTTGACGGCCACCTGTATAATTGCCGAATTACCAATATCGTTTTTATCACCCTTGCCGTTACCACATTTCACTTTAGTGTGATATGTGCCAATGTAGACATCACCAAACTGGCCCACTCCAATGGTATTGTTTAGGGTTATTTCCGAGCGATCCAATTCATAATTTCTTACTGGAATTGCGTGTGGCATATATTAGAGTTTTATAAATTCAAAAAAAAGGAAAACTTTTTATAATTACCAGCTGGTGTCGAATAATCCCCCTCTTCATCGGCCAAACCCAGTTCAGCATAATCTTCACTTAATTTTGGTTTAGAATTTTCGCTATAATTTGTTTCGTTTGCATGATCGCCGCCACCACCACCGCCATTATTTAGGCTATTTGTTGTATCATTTTTCACATTGCCACCAATGGGATTCCATAGAGTGCAAACCTGATTATTGCTAATCAAAAGGCAATAACCCTCAATGAGATTTGCAATACTTGTGGCAGTCTATAAATAAAAAAAAGACCAATATATATTTTTAGTAGTGTGAGTGTCCAGGTATATGTTGTTACTTACATTATAACCATTACATGTTATCACCAGATCTTCATCTTTGCTTGTTGTAGTTATTTTAACTTGTGTCTTCATTTCGCGACATCGACATGGTTTCCCCTGGCCCAAATTATCATCGATGCTGGGTGGCAATGATTTGAGTAGACTTTTCTCGTGATTGGAATGTGCATCTTCTTTGGGTAGAAATAAAGTGGTAATACGATTTATATCCTTAAATGTGGCCACTTGGGTCATATTTGTCTGGGGATGGGTTTGATATGAAATGCCTGGAAGAAAATCATAAAAGAAAAATAAATATACATGGAAATCTTTACTATGTATCCTCTATGAAATAAGGACTTCCAGAGGATATCGACTTAAAAAAAAAAAAAAAAACAGAATATTTCTGAGAGGTCTTGAACAAATTGTAAAAATTCTAATAAATTATGAAAATATAGAAAATATTAAAACTTAGAACTTTTTTGGTTAAAGCCATCTTGATATAGGAAAACATTCTTAAGGACTACAATATACAAACTTCTAGAGGTCTTTCAGTAAATCTTCTAGGTCTCCCAGGTAAAAGTCTATTTACTTTTATGGAGAAAATATAAGACCTTTTTTTTTGGATAGAAGTCTGTATTATCATATTTTTTTCTTGAATATATTACCTATTTTCGGGCCAACATAAAGATAACTAGATATGTTCCACGATGAACTCAGCGTTACGGAAAACTTTTCATATTCGGTTTCGTAGAAATTCTTCAAAATATCGAAATACCTTTAATAAAAAAAGACAATTGAATAACTCATTAGTTATGAAAAGCAAATGAAATTATTATCCCCAGTTATGCTTACTTCGTTATGTATTCGATATCGGTTAAATGGTATAATTTTTTATATGTTGCGAGTATCACTTTTTTCAGATTCTTTGGCTTTGTTGAAGATATCACAGTTTTTGGTAGAAATTGATTAAATCCCACTTCTTTGTCTATGTGTTCCACATGCTGTGTCTTTTTATCCGGTATCGCTGTGGTCATATTACGAAAATAGTGCAGCATACTGAGGCAACACAGCTGTATTGCACTATCAAAGTCGATACTCGTCGAATTCGATTGAATAAAATCTTGTTTAACCTAAAGAAGGGAAAATGACATTCAATCATCTATGCGAAAATTCAATTTAAAGTTTCCATACCTGATCAAAATAGAAATAACATGTGATTTTATCTTCATTGAAAAGTTCCCGAAGACTGTGAGGCAAGTAGCGGATACGCAACTCGGGCCTCCAAACGCTAAGCTTATCGTTAACATTTACAGTTGGCGGTATATGTTGTGATTTCTGTTGGGGACACTCGGTATTCGGACAGGTGGAATTCCAAATATGTTCAAGAAGTTTTTGTATTTTCGTTGTTTTGTTCATCCACAGGGTTTCTTTGCTGACCATGTTTTGCAGACGCAATGCATAGTAACGTGGATTGGGCTTCTTGGCATAGGGTACCATGGCCACCGTCTTTTCAATGATATCTTGGACCGTGTCCTTTTGTTCATCCAGGCTGACCGCATGGTGAAGATTATTCGGCCAGTAGACATTCAAGGATGTTAGGTTACCTTGAGAAGGGGAAATTATTATTTTTTTCAAAATCTAAAGAAGCTACACTTACTTTGGTTAGAATTTTGAGACATGCTTTTATAAGTTTTTGTTCTGGCTATGCTCCGTTGTCTCAGATCAATATCCTAAGACAAACAAACAATGTTTGATTGATCAATGTTGTTTCCAGGAGGATTAAATCAAATCATGGATACATTTGTGTGTGTGTTCAACTTGTCCTTCTCTTGATATTATTTTATACAAATTTTCTTTTCGCCGCCACAGTCACTGGAACGAAAAAAAGGTGATGTATTCATTAGCAATTAAAACGTAAAATGATATGTCTGATCATGCTTGGTTTTTGAGAAAGTTCATCAATAATTGCGTGAGCCAATTATTTGGTTAAAAAACAAAAACTCATGTGAAAATCTATGTACGAATATGTGCAGATGTGGACATATGTGTTTTGATTCGGACATATGTATAGAAAATTAGACAAACCACACGTTTCATAATGACGACAACCCCAGCACCCAGCACCAAAATCGTCTCTAATCAGAATTAGATCGCGGCAAAGTTTTGATGTCTTCCAATTCAAGTGAATAACAGCAGCATTCATTCATTCGCACAAATAGATATGTAAACAAATGCCCCTATTATTATTATTTATATATTTAGCTACAATGTGGTTGTTTTGTAATTAAATGCAATAAACAATGATTTATCGAAAAAATATATCATAATAATAAATAATAATAGCGAAAATTACGCTAGACACACACTTTGTGTGAAAAAGTTGCGTTGGCCGCATTCATACCATCAAAAATGAAAAAAAAAAATGGGCTCGACTGTTTTTTTTTCTATTAAAAAGGGAGAGACATTCGGCCAGCCAGCCAGACGGACGTATGGAAATGGGCTGATACCACCAATTTTTTTCAGGGAGTTGATAACATACCTCTATTCCAAATATCCTTTGGACCCAGCTAGGAATGCAAGCCTACCAGCCAGTCAGTGGTTTTTCTTATTTCCTTCCAATGCGGCGGGGCATTCACAAATAAAATACAATATTTTCTTTTCTATCTATTTGCAGCCACCAGTAGTAATGAAGAGAGCAAAATGGGAAAAACATTAAATCGTATAGAATTAAATTATGTTTACACTCTCTATATTCCATACAATGTGTTGCGTTTGCCTTGATAGTGGCCTTTAGTTTTTCATCTTGTATTTTATTTAATTTTAATACATTTAATTCGTTTATTATTTCGTAAAAAAAGTATTATTTTGCAATCAAAAACAACCAATCACCAACCACCTCCGCAAAATGTATCAATCAATTTACGAGAGAGAGAAAGAGAGCCAGCACAGACATAGGGATACATAAGTCGACATGTTTGGATATCGATAATTTAATTTTGCACAACACATTCATTGTGATAATAGGTATATAATGGCATGAGAAAGGATTTTATAACACCCATAATGACCAAACATACAGTTTTATTTAATTGAGAACTCAAATTGGTAGAATAAGAGCTCGTAAATTAAGTAAATGTCAAAAATCAAATATTTATCGCACAATGATGACTATCGATTAAACTTGAAAAACTCGATTTTCGTTTTCAACTGTAAAGCCCTACACGAATAAATATTTCCACTCACATTAAATTGATAACAATAATCCGTTGTGGGCAGAATAAGTACACGAAAAGAAATAAAATACATTTAAGAGTTGGTACCATGGTGCAATAAGGAGGTAGAACAGCTTCTCGAAACTACAGCCCTGAGCCTATGCCCGCTTCCTGTCAGACTCATTCAAAATTATATACAACAAGTTGTTTTATTTTTTTTTTCATGAGTTAAATAGCGCGGAAAATGAATTAAATGCCTGGATTTTCTATCGAAAATATGATCCAAACTGTTAAATCATTCATTTTTAGCCATAGATTGGTTTTTTAAAAAATATTTTGTTTTCATTTTTCAAAACAATAAATACATACACAAAATTGGTAGAAGTCGGGTACACTTAGAAAAAATTGTAATCAGCTGGTTGTTCTACCTTGCCTTTTTATTGCATCATTTGCAAAATTAATTATGGCAATATATTTCCAACGGCCTTCTCATTTTCTGAAATGAAAAATATTTTAATATCTTAAATATGTACGTATGACGCGTGGCATATTTTACATAATTAATAGATAATCTATTTTATTCGCCGTACCTGGAGAAGCAAAAGCAGTTATATGTTCCATATCATAGGAAGACGTATTTTATTCATCTTTTCTTGGGCTTCAACTTATGAATAAGAGATTTTAGACCCTTCATCTTAAGGAAACTTTCTCGTCGTTGGTATTTTATCTATTGTCCTCGACATACGTTTTATTTTAAGTCAGTCTTTGGAGATTACCGTTGTTATTGTACCATGCACGAAGCATGCATATGCAGTTTCACCATGGTAGAAGAATACATGTAGATGCATCAACGCTTGGGAACATTGATATGTCAAAACTTTTAACATGATTTGTCAACAATAAGTAAATTTTTATATGCTTACTTACACGACATAAATCGGAAGTGGTTATAATATGCATTTTTCAACCATTTTTACAAATTTCAATAATTTTTCATTTTTTTCATTAAATTTTGATTAAAAATTTCAATTTCAAAATCGTTTTGAAAGCTCGCCGTGTCGCTATGTCGATGCGACTACCTGCATTCTTTTACCATGAGTTACACCAAACATGAAATGAAAGATGTCAGTTTTGACATACATACGATACGATACGAACGACCCAGTAACAGAATTCGGATGACATAGGAAGAAGGTCCATTTTTCCATTTAGAAATACGACCGAATACATTATCGGCAGAGAAAAATGGTAAATATGTAGCAAAGTGAATGTTAGCCGGCTCATTTTATTGTACCGTAATAATAATAATCGAACTAAGATGACATAGGAAGAAGGTCCATTTTTTCATTTAGAAATACGACCGAATACATTATCGGCGGAGAAAAATGGTAAATATGTAGCAAAGTGAATGTTAGCCGGCTTATTTTATTGTACCGTAATAATAATAATAATAATCGAACTAAGATTTAATAGCATGAAGAACATAATCGAATTCAGATGACATTGGAAGAACTAATACTTGTTCCATTTAGAAATGCTTCCCAATACACTACCGCCGGAGAAAAATGAAAAGTATATAGCAAGGTAAAAGTTAGCCGCCTTATTTTATTATACCGTGATGATAATAATAATAATCGAAATAAAAATGGGAATACATAAAGCGCTTATCTGGCTGGCTTATGTCATGTCACGTAAGCGCTTTAAGTATCTCCACCTTAATACTTGTTCCATTTCGAAATATGACCGAATACACTATCGGCGGAGAAAAATGGAAAATATGTAGCAAGGTGAATGTTAGCCGGCTTATTTCATTGTGCCGTGATAATAATAATCGAATTGAGATTTTATAGCTTGAAGAATATCATCCATGGTAAAAGAATACAGGTAGATAGATGCATCAACGCTTGGGAACATTGATATGTCAAAATTTTTTAATGTTTTTTTTTTTTAAAGGTTTTTTTATGTTTTCCTATACAACGACAATCTAGGGTTGTTTGATGTGCATTTTTCAACCATTTTAACGAGTTTAAATATTTTTTCATTTAATGTTTTCAATTTCAAAATTGATTTGACAGTTCATTGTCCCAGCAGCTGTGTCGACGCGACTACCTATATTCTTCTACCATGACATCATCGGATTCTTTTAGCAGGTTTACAAGGCTGTATATTTATGTTACCCAAAAATTGTGAAAACTTCCCCGCTCATGAACCAAATGCTAGATACAACTTCATGTGAACGTAATATTTGATATTAAAAGCAATCTCAAATAAAAGAATATTTCATCAGAATAAAAGAACGTTTACGTATACGTCAACTTAAATCGACTCCCAAATTAAAATCCACTGGATTTGTTATGTACATATGTACGGCGTTTGGGACGGTTACTATGAGTATGACATTACAGGCCCCTTAAAATCTGTTTTTGTTCATAATGTAAACCTAATATTACAAATGAAAGACCAAAAAGAAAAAAAGAGATACTTAGCATTTGCATCTTACTTTACTTTTGTAAATGATTTTTAATTAAATATATATATTTTTGTTTTTTGTTGTTGTTGTTTTATAAATTTAAAGATTGGTTTTTTTTTTCAAAGAAAAACTACTAAAGCAGTTTTGTTATATAATTAAGTATGTACGTTTCTTTTACAGAGATTGTTAATATGCAAATAGAAAGAGAGAGAGAGGATAAAATTAGCTCGTTTTTCTAAGAAGACATGCAAAATACTACTTTGGGGGGATTTCATTTTAATAGTTGTTTGTTTTTTTGTCTTGTTACAATACTTTTGGTTTCTCATGGGATTTCAATTAAGTTGGAGTAATAATTAATTTAAGATTAAGAGATAATAATACCGTTTTGTGGGTTAGGTTTTTTTTGTTAAATAATGACAAAAGCGGATGAAATTAATAGGCGGGGATTATTAGTAGTTTTGTGGCTTTAACTTATAGCTATGCACCTTTTTTTGGGGGGGTATTTTTTTGTTGCTTTTTGAATGAGTACTGTTTTTGTTTTTTTGGAATATAACTGTCTATATCTCTCTTGTTTTTTATTACATACGTACTTTGTTTTTTTTTTTAATTTTTAATGATTATGATTAGCATTAGCAAATACATTTTACATGTAGTATAACTATTGGTAATTTGTTTATAACTTAAATAAATGTATATACTCTATTAATATAATGTTTTTTTTTATTTGTTGTACTCAGGACTACAATTATAAACAACCATTGAGGTAATATTTGTTAAGCTCTACGTTCCACAAATTTTATTTTTTTTTTAATATAAATAATAATAATCATTATAGTAATAATATAGATTGTTTTAGTTTTAAGAAATGTATGTCCGGTTTTGTATGAATGTATATTATATATATGTATATATGTGGTGTATAGGATAGTTAGATTGATATATATATACTTGATTGAGTAAGAGAAAAAAATGTGTTACTGGGTGGATGTTTTGTTTTCGAATACTGTTTATACTTCTTCTTCTTCTTTCTTTCCTTTTTTGGTTTAGTTTCGTAAATACTTAGTACTTTTAGTTATGTTTTACACACATGAGAAAATGTTTACTAATAATAATAATAATAATAATAATAATAATAATAATAATAATAAAAAATGCTGATCAAAATTCCAAAACGAACAAGAAAAACAAAACCATTTCCAAAACATGATCATGATGATGATGAACAACAATAACATTCAAATTTTTTTCATATATATATAGTTAGTATATTTCTTTGACAAAGAAGATAAACATACACATTGAACACCAAAATCTCCTTGCTTTTTTGTTGCTGTTGTTGTTGTGAAGGGGGAAAAGTCTAAAAAATAATCCGCAAATACACTCGGAATAGATGGAATAGATGTATAAAAATTGGAATAATGACCATATAAACATTGAAATACTGTTGATGGTTTTGCTTTTGATGGCATTTAACAGTGAATAATAATCAAAAAAGTAAAAAGGAGACTCGTGTTCTCCTTGTATCTCCTTTGGCTCTGCGGGCCATACCGTAATGTCACCCAGTTATGTCACTGCTATTGCTTGTACCCTTTGAATCCATGGCACCGGCAGCTTAAAGCAAAAAAACAAATGAATAATTTAAAATGATTTTCTAGATAAATTTAAGCTTATGTTATGGCATACCTAAGTCATCACCATGCATAGAGGAGGTAAGACCTCCAGTAATACTATTAAAGTCCAGATTGTACTAGAAAAGAAAAGATATTTTTTTTATATAAAATCTATTGGCAATTGATTTTAAATTGTTAAAACTAATGCTTAATCTTCAGGCTATGTTTTAATAATATGATATAAACGGCGGTCACTAGTTTTATGGCACCTTTACTTTAAGGATATTTTCAATACGAGTGAAAAATTTACAAAAGAAAACTAAACTCCAATGTCGATCTATATATCCCTAGCATGTTTACACAATTCCATGTTCGCTATTTATGATTTCTTTTATAACTTAATTTTTAGCTTAGCGTAATAAAGGCTCTATCAGACGAAATGTTTTTAAGAACAAATTTTTCCATATGTAGAAGTGTGATACATTTATATCAGCTGTGAAATAGATGAGTAAAGTTCATACGTACTTTTTTGATCACAGCGAGTCTTCGGGAAAATATAATTTAATGAAGAGTGTTGTTTTTTTTTTTTTTTTTTGTGTAAAAAATATAAAATTCGATTAGGTATTTTATAAAACACAATATAATCACAATTCAATCAAAGAAAATAAAACAACATATGCAAGTGTGTGATGGCAAAAATTATGGGTCATATAAAATATGGCAATTTTGACTTGCGCAGTAAAAATAACCACGGTAAAATTAAGAAGGTAAAGTCGTTTCAAATAACCATACCCATCTCTGCATTTTCTGTAATTTAACTTATCAAATTTCACCACATAAAAACTGGTTCCCATCTCTGAATTATGTGTATACAATGGATTTATAAATACAAATTTTGCCAATGAAATGTTGTCAAATTAATAATTTTTGAAAAAAATTGTAAACATATGATTGCTTGACTTTACCTCCTTGTTTCTACCATGAAAGTAACATTACATATGTAAAACTCATTCCGTCTGATAATGCTTAAAGTATGTTGTAAGTGTGGATTAAATGGCTGGCAATTTCACAAAAACTGCAACAATGACTGGAAGCATTGAAGATTATATAAATAATCTGACACAATTCTATCTCTTATTCCTTTATAATTGACTTTTATTTCTGTTTTTGAACCTCGGAGTTTTCATAGAAAAACCATGGTCGAAGAAAGAAACAGGTAGGAGCATCAGCACATTTCAACAAAGATATATCAAATAATTAAAAAATGAAAAATAAATAGGTTTTGAACTAGTTTCTTATACGTTGTCCTCGAGAGGCCGTTATGATATGTGTTTTTATATATTATAATTAAATAAAATTATTTTTCATTCAAACATTTGAATGTTTCAAAATTAGCAAATAATCACTTCCTTGGCGTTTGGCATGGTAGAAGAATATAGGTAGACGCATCAACACAGCTGCTTGGGCAATGAACTGTCAAACCAATTTTGGAATTAAAATTGTTGAATGAAAAATTACTTAAATTTGTAAAAATTTTAGAAAAACGCGTATTATAATAACCTCCGAATGACGTTGTATAAGAAAACATATACAAATCTACTTATATTTGAAAAGACATTTAAAATTTTTTGACATATCAAAGTTCCCAAGCGTTGATGCATTTACCTGTATTCTTCTACCATGGTGTTTGGCAAAAAATATCACACCGATTTGTATGTCCCTAGCTTAAAGGATGTTCACACGTGAAATTAAATTTAATTTTTCATTATTCAAGTTTTTTTTGTGGTACAATTAAAACAACTTGCCAAATTGAAGATGCCGTGTGACCACGCTATTAGCTATGGACATATAAATCATGTAATGTATCTTATTTGTAAGTGGTAACGTTTCTCCCTTCGTTTAGGAATATCATGGTAGAAAAATATAGGTACACGCATCGACACAGCTGCTGGGACAATGATCTGTCAAACCAATTTTGGAATTGAAAATGTTAAATGAAAATTTATTTAATTTTTTAAAAAATGTTGAAAACGCGATTTATAATAACCTCCGAATGACGTCGTATAAGAAAACATATAAAAATCTACTTATATCTGAAAAAAAAAAATCATTTAATGTTTTTTGACATATCAATGCTCCCAAGCGTTGATGCATCTACCTGTATTCTTCTGCCATGAGGAATATGTATATTACCAGCTGATTGCAATTTTTTTTCTGAGTGTGCCCGAATTCTGCCAGTTTTGTGTATGTATCAATTATTTTGAAAAAAAAAAAAACAGAATATATTCAAAATAAATGATTGGAAGACGCGTAAATTGCGAGGCGCGCTTTAAAGTTATTCTCCAGTTTTGTCATGAAATTGAAAGATAGAACTGCTTAGATCATATTTTTGAAAGAAAATTTAGACATTACATTCGTTTTTCCCGTTGTTTAACTGATTTTAAAAATGAGGAGAAATATTGAATAAATGAAAACAACTTGTGGCATGCTAATTTGACAGGAAGCGGGCATAGCTGTATTTCTATAGTTTTACGAAACTGTTCTACCTCCTTATTGTACCATGGGTGAAAGTGCTTTTTATGATTTGTTTACATTCACATTTGATTTTTCAGATGACATTTCTATTACTTTCTACCAACAACAAATGATTGTTGTTGTTTCAAATTGTTGTACAACAACATTTGCTGTAACCTTATTCTATGGTACTTTAATTTTTTATAAAAAGAAGAATTTCCTTTTCCTGAAAATATCGATTTACATTTCCCTACATAATGTCATCTTCACAAGATGGCTGTTTTTGTGTTTGTTTGTTGTTTTTATGGTTTGTTTGACTTTGTTTACATTCACATTAAATTTTTCACTCCACATGTTCTTTCTACCAACAAATTTTATGTTGTTGTTTTTAATTGTTGTACAACTTGCTTTTACCTCATATTCATTTTAGAAGAATATAGATAGACGCATCGACATAGCTGCTGGGACAATGAACTGTCAAACCAATTTTGGAATTAAATATATTGATAGAAAAATTATTTAAATTTTTAAAAATTGTTGAAAAACGCGAATTATAATAACATCCGAACGACGTCGTATAAGAAAATATATAAAAATCTGCTTATATTTGAAAAAACAAAAACATTGTTTTTGTTTTGACATATCGACGCTTCCAAGCGTTGATGCATCTACCTGTATTCTTCTGTCATGCTCATATTCTTTAACTATGAAGTTTTTTTTATTAGAAACAAGAATTGCCTCTCTGGACATTATCGACTTATGTATCCCTAGTTTATACCATGTTCACAAGTTTGCTGATAAGTAAACATTTTTTGCTAACTAATTTCCATATAGTTGTTGTTATTTAAATTGCTGTACAACAACACTATTTGTTACCCTATATGCTAATAAATAGACGTTTTTTTATATTGAAAACACGAATTGCCTCCCTGGACATTATCGATTGATACATCCCTGCCTTATATCATGTTCGCAAGAAGTTCACTTGAAATTATTTTTCTTTTTAATTTTTCATAAATCTCCCATTTTATGACATCAAAATACCATGAATTACAATTAATCGTTTCATGTACTCACCTTTGTAGCACATTCTAGGCACTTTGTCACAACACTATTGATAACACACATGAGGTTTTTCGTTTCCCTGATAACATGATCCACCTTAACATATGTAGCCGATGGACCCACCGTATGATCTTTGACAGTAAACTGTAATGTTTGTACAAATGTGGGTACCCGGTCTAGGACATTGAGTAGATCTTTTTTGTGTGGACTTGCGGGGACCTGAAAAAGCCACAATACACCTTAAAATGATAATTCAATGGCTGAAAAGAGTCTCTCACCTGATAGGAAAATTGTCTTAATATCTTATAGAGACGATTGGCTTCTTCAGCAAAATATTCAGCTTGTGTGAAGAGATCTTGTGTGGTTTTCAGCGAACCATTACCTTTGGTAAATTGATACATTAGAAATGCCATGGCCGAAAGATTTTTTGCTCTTTTAATTATGTCATTGTCGCAGAGATCTTCATTCCATCGAGGTTGCAAATCGCGTTTGACTGCATCGGCCTCGAGATCTAGCTCCTTACTGGGTTCCGGTAAGTCCTTAGGAAAATTAACACTTTTCGCCGGTTTGGCAACATCCGATACCGATGCAGTGCTCTACATGTTTTCGGGAGGAAAAAAGTAATATTTTAAATAAATTCTGTTGAAATAGTTTGTCAGGGAAGTTTTTTGACAGGAGCTTCTATAAGGCATTTGTTTAGGGTGATCACGAAAAGATGTATGTTCTGTTCCAAAACCTGCAAGAATCCACTGGTTTTGTATTTTTTCGATATCATAAAGGAAAAATCGGTTATCGTATTGAAAACTTTTACATTCTTGCAAAAACTTTTACATTTTTGAAGTCAAGAACAAAGGAGTTTTAGGTTGACTTAGATCGATTTCAGCCCTAGGCTCCTTTTTCTTTTCCGAAGAAGCTAGTCGATGACTTAAGCCAGTCAAATGTGTGTTTTAGTTCGCAATTTGTTTCGATATCATAAAGAAAAATCGGTTATCGTAGTAAACACTTTTACATTAGGGCTGTTCCAGAACATGCAAGAATCTATTAGTTTTGTAATATTTTTCGATAACACAAATGGAAAATCGGTTATCGTCTTTTACATTCTTCCAGTTCTGGAAGACACCAAATGTTAAACTACGATAATCGATTTTTCCTCCTTTATGATATCGAAACAAATTGTGAACTAGTAAAGGTGAGAATACATAAAACTCACATTAGACTAGCTCGTTTTTCTTTTCCGAAGAAGCCAGCCTAAGTCATCGGCTGGAAAAAGAAAAAGGAGCCTAGGGCTGAAATCGATCTAAGTTAACCTAAAACTCCTTTGTTCCTCTACGAAGAAGTCAGCCGATGACTTAAGCCAGTCAAAAAAAGCCTTTTATGTATTCTCGCCCTATGTTCTTGTAAGTTCTGGAAAATTCTGGTCTCTTCCACCACAGTTCTGTTCCAGAACTCCAAGAATGTGAAACTTTTTACTACGATAACCGAGTTTTCCTTTATGATGTCGAAAAAAAAGTTGGAAAACTAGTCGATTTTGCAGGTTGTGGAACAGTTGGCAAAATTGGCCATGAAAAAATCGAAATTAACATTAATCGATTTTGGGTTGGAAAGTAAAAAATCGATTATTAGCTGATCACTGATCAAATATCGAAAAGTCGACTCTTGCACTCGACTACGAATCACTTTTCCGTACCCGAAGGAAGATAACAAAAACAAAAATAGAAAAAGTCAAACTGGGAGTGAGTGCTTCCCGATCTTCACGCGGTCATGGTCACCTACAAGACGAGAGAGAAGGTTCATTTTGTGATGGTATTTAAAGACCGACACAGAAACAAATCTCAGAGATCGCCGACATAACTTTTCGACTTAAAAAAAGGAACCGATTCGCCGGCCTTGAATTCAGCTCCTGTCAAAATTAGTTTCCCGCCAACTTTTTTTAACTCTTTCTTTTCCACTCCACTCCCAAACTTACACTCCCAAATGTCAGGTACTTTAAATCTTGTTCACTTATTACGGCCATCGATTCCAAGATCTTCTTTGCTACAATATTCACTTCGGACACCAGCCACGTCCACATTTCCACAAAAGCATCAAAATTCTCACTGGCCACATTGCTGAGCGGAAATTTCGTTAGTATTTTGGCAGCTAATATTACTTGAGGTCCATAGATTCGTAGATTTATGGACACATGGCTGGCCTGCTCTTTGAGAGCATCCTGCACGGCAATGTGCCTCAGCAGTTTACACACATCCAAAATGTGATCACAATGTTCGTGAAACTCGTTGACTTTCTGGGTGAATTGCGGCAAGTTTTGTTGTGAAATTATGGCATTCAGAGAGTTCACCAGTTCCGTGGACATTTTCAGTGCATGAAACATGTCACGCGACTGCTCTGCTGCCGAGGCGACCAATTGTTCGGAGAGTGTTTTGACGGCCGACAACACCGTGTCTATGTACTCATCCTGATACGGATCTTTGGCATAGGGCTGGTCACCCTGCTTGACAACAATGCGTAGGTATTTGTTCAGCTCACGGGTACAGTGGTCGCAATAGATCAGAATACTCTCGCGCATCTCATGACTGGTATAGGGTGAGTCGGTGAAATCGTGTATGTTCTCCAGGATTCTGTCGAATGAGATCAGTAGTTTTTCAATGAGATCCTCACAAACGCAGGATTGATTGATTGTCGTCTTGTATTTGGGACTACCCGACGCCGACGAGGAGTACTCATCCAAGCCGTAGCATTCGTTTAGCAGGCGCTCTCCTTCGGGCAGTCCCGTGGCATCGTATAGCTTCGTTTTGGTTTTATTGTCATGTGGTGCTACCCATCGTCGCTCCAGGGCCTTCTTGCGATACGAAGAGTTGTGATTGAATTTCGAATTCAGATAGGGATCTCCGCCACCGTGTTTGTTCGTTTTGTAGCGGCAACACTGCATCAGATAGGTAAAGTGTTGTATGGTGGCATGTATGGTGCCACGATCGTCGTTGTTGTAGTAGGAATACTGCTGCTGTTTCGTCGAATGCCATTCGGATTCGATTATGGTATCCTTGATGATGAAATGTATGTGATCCATGCCGCGGCGAATTTGACAGAACACGGTATTGCGATTTTCGCGTGCAATCACACAATTGTAATGGACCATACACACCTTGGAGGAGGTTATCAGAACCTTGACCGAGTGCTCCAGCACTTGGCGAGCCGACAATATTTCCGAACGTCGCCGCTCTTCTTTGGCACAATTGGCATTACTACCGGTTAAATAGGTCATTTCCACCATTTCGGTGCCGAAAGCAGAGAAGGCCTGCACAAATTTGGTAAAGTTCATGACACATTCCAAATTCTGGGGACATTTGCTATCCTTGTATTTGAAGCTGAACAATTGTTTCACCACAATAATGTCGACCAGCAAGAGGACCCGTGTTATGGAGGTCAGCAGGGAACGTGAGGCCAAAACAATGGCCGTATGATCCACATAGGGTTTGGGCACACCAGCACTGTCGTGTATCAAATCCCCCGATATACAAAGTTGTTCAATGGATTTCCCTGCGAAAAAAAAATTGAATTAAATAATTCCTTGTTCCTCGTTGCAAGCATTTTCCCACTTACCCGTATCCCGAGCATCCTTACAGCACTCAAACATATCACCTTTGATGTCCTGAAAACCCTCAGCAATGATTTCTCCAATGGTAACCAAACGATCAACAGACATATTCACCGCCTGACCAACCCGCTTGTAAGCCATTAACTTTTGTTCACCACTCATTTCCAAGTGTCTGGGCGCTGCGAGCTGTTTGTAAAATTAAAAAAATAGGGTTTTTTAATTATACGTTCTTTAAAAGAGGTGGTACATACCGGCTCCAAATTATTTGCCGAAATCATGTTGTTCTCTTTATTTTCGTATCCGTTTTTGAGTTTTTTTTTGCAAAATTCTTTAGAGCACACTATCCATGCTTGTTATAGACAGAGCGTTAGGCTACGCTTGGCATGTGAACAACCCTTGTGCTGTGAGGAAATCGCTGAAATTGTTAAAAAAAAAAATAAATAATGGAGGAGTTCTTAACATATGAAAACTGAGTTCTGATGACACATTGCCATCTCATGGGTTAATTCTGATGCCTAATCAATGTAGATATAGTCACATTAGTTGTATAATACGCTGTTGTTATAACTTGAAAAACTTTCGTTGGGCGCCATTCCAGTTAACATCCTAATTTCCCAACTGAAATTCGCTGCTGTTATATCTTGAAACTTTCGTTGGGCGCCATTCCTAATTTCCCAACAGAAATGACATTTTTTTAACTCTACAGGGTGAGATGAAAAAACTACAACCAACTTCAGACTGCTGTCATTTCTAAGCCTCTCGTCCTGACAGCTATTAAAATTATTCCAGCGTTTACAAGCGCACAAAAGCATTTTGGTGAGAATTTTCCAGAAAAAAAGGTATTCGTGGTGGAATTCAAGCGTGATGGTGTGATTTCTTTATATTTGGCTGGAAAACCACAAGTGGGTATCGTCCGAGCACTCCAGCATTTAAATGTAAATAAATAAATAAATCTGGTGATACTGGAAGGAAGTGGACGGAAGAAAACAGCAACATCAGCAGAAATGGTTCGAGGAAGGTAAAGAAGCGACTTGATCGAAACCCGCGTCGCAGTGGCCGAAAAATGGCTTGTGGAACATTTTGCAATATTCCATTCGCCAAATATTAAAAAATGAGCTCGGGGTAAAGCTATTGAAATTCCAAAAAGTGCAAGAACTTACACCGCAAAAGAAAGAAAATGGACTCAAAAGGGCTAACTCTTGGCCGAAAGTGATGAACTGCCGAATTCGGTTTTCTCCGATGAGAAAACATTCGTTGTCCAGCCAAAGAGGTCAGCTGAAAATGCGCACCTTCGGTTGGCCACCAGAACTCAAGTGCCGGTCATGGTGATGGTGTGGGTTGCAATAACAGCCGATGGTGGCTCTCCGCTCGTATTATTCGATATTAGAATAAATGCCGAATATTATCGCAAAAATATTCTGGAGGGTGTATTAAGGCCTTGGGCACGCAAACACATTTTGGCCGCTGACCTTGGACATTGCAACAGGAAGCACTCAGCACGCGCCACCCAAGAATGGTTACAAACTGAGCTTCCTCGCTTCATTTCCAGCGCAAAATGGCCACCAAAATCTGCGGATACCAATCCTTTGGACTATCGAATCCAGAGTATTTTAGAAAGCAAGGTTGGCACTAAAAAATACTAAAGTGTCGATCACCTCAAGCAAGCGCTTCGCCGGGAATGGGCCAAAATACCACAGAGCAATGTTCGGGCAGCTTGTGACGGTTTCATTGGCCATTTGAAGACCATATTTCGTACCAAACGTTACCAATTGGAACAAATCTAAATTTATTCTAAAATTTGATGCTATTTCCGACATTTTTTGCTTTCATTCAATAAAATTTAAAAATAAAATATAAAAATTATGGCGTTAGACTTTGTTGCAGTTTTTTTATCTTGGGCGCCATGTAGCCAAACCAACCAAAATCCAAAGCAACTTTTTTTAGTGAAAAAAATGAACTTTCGGGCAGCGTATGTGGCTCCTTGCACATCTCTTGTGGTCGCATCGTATGAGAGATTAAACCTCCCAGAAAATTGGTGCCTTAAAAAAGCTTGGCAAAAAATGATTTGACTTTTTCACTATTTGGTCGGAATTGGTCTCATAGAACAGCAGCTTGACGGCGTCACTGAATTTTAAAAGAACTTTAAGAGACTCCTCCCAGTTTTCTGGAGAAAGTTTGTTGGAAGATCGGTGAGTCCAAATAGACTCCATTGATATTAAGTATGAATACATCGTGTAGATTTAGCGATGTCCGTCCGTCTGTCTGTTGTAATCACGCTATCTTTCGAACGAATTGAGATAGAAAGCTAAAATTTTGCACACATGTTTACTTTGCCAGTAGTCAGGTTAAGTTCGTAAATGGGCCATGTAGGTCCACGTTTTCATATAGCCCCCATATAACGGTACCTCCCCTTATTCGGTATTTTAATGATTTTAGCGACATTATTCACCGGAATTGTTTCAAACTTGGCCTTTGAAGTTCGTAATGGATACTACAGCCTATGACAGAAAATTGTCTGTGCAGGTCCACGTCTTCATATAGCCCCTATTTAACGGTACCTCCCAATATTCGGTATTTTGATGATTTTAGCGTCATTATTCACCGGAGTAGTTTCAAATTACGTATTAAGAGTTCGTAATGGGAACTTCGGTCTGTGACAGAAAATTGTGTATGCAGGTCCAGGTCTTCGTATAGGCCACCATATATCAGCACCTCTCTATATTCCGTATTTTGACGATTTTATGTACAATACCCACCGAAATTGTTTGAGATGTGGTATTTGAAGTTCGTAATGGATGCTACAGCCTGTGACAGAAAATTGCTCCAATTTAACGGCACCTCCTTATATACGATACATTATTCACCGTTTATTTCAAATTTGGAATTTGAATATGGTAATGGCTTATGATAAACAAAGCCTATGTAGGTTTACGCCGTAGAGACCCCAATATAACGGCTATATTCGGTATTTTTAAGATTTTAACAGAATTTTTAAGGGATTTTATTTTCTGAATATTTCTAAATTCGTTCCAAATGGTGGAGGGTACTCAAAGTTCGGCCCGGCCGAAATTACTGCTTTTTAACTTGTTTTTTTTTTTTTTTTTGTTGCTACATTCACATAGACCAGTTGTTTTTTATAAAACAGGCCTTTAAGTGCTGTATTTTGTTTTGCTTTGCTGTTGTTTTTTTTTTTTTTTTTGTTTTTGTTCTAGTCAAACATAAGAGGTCAACTAATAAAAACACAAATAATAAATATTTCATAGCAAACACACAGAACACTTTGACAAACAACATTGAACTATACACAAGGTTAGTTGTTGTTGTTGTTATTGCATGTACACACTTGCCATGTTTTTATTCTTGGCACTTATTAATAAATATGTAAATCATCATGGGCCACTAGTCACTCAAGTAATAACAAAGTAATTTTCTTTTAAAAAATATATAAAAGGGAAAAGCAGAAGAAGAAAGAAAAAGTAGCATGAACACAGCTAGTCTTAAGGATTGCAGGCAGACCCACTCAAAAACAAGAGCAAATCTTGTTGAAATTTGCAACAACAAAAAAAAAGGCCAGCAACAAAAATTCGAACACATTGTAGCATTGGCAAAATGTAATATCACATTAAAAATGCCATCATTTGCACTTGAATTGATGGATTTATTATGATTGTAATATAGACAAGGCAAAGGTGTCACCAGCACCACCACCACCACACACTGTGACACAGCTCTTTGGCACACTTCACCTCTACCTTTACTTTCGTTTTTCTTTCTTTTTTTTCCTTCTGTTGTTGGTTTTCGTTGACCCTCCGCGCCCTATTATCCATAAACAACAACCCCTCGATTTGACTGCATGCAGCTGATGTTCAATTTCACAGTGGGGTTTTTGCTCTAACTGTTGTTTAGCAGCAGTCGCAGTCGCAGTCGCAGCAGCAGCAGAGAAGACAAGTACCAACACACACTCTGAGAGCCTACCACAAAACACACACACACAGTTTGTCAATTTCAATTTAATTGCTGGCTGGCAGATAAGGCACCAGTAAGTCTTTGCAACACACAACACAACACAGTTAAAAGGAGAAGAAGAAGACACACACAAAAAGAAAAGAAGAAAAAAAAACACACAATAGAAAAGTGTCTACAAGTGTATGCAGCTTGCCTGCCACCTATACTTGTTAGGTTGACTGCTGTGCTTGACAAACGTACGTTTTTTCCATTGGGAAAAATCGTTTAGTTTTTATTGCTTCGCAAAACTGTGAAAATTCATAGCAAATTTTTCTTCTTTTCTAAAGATTTTTTTGTTCACATATTTCTATTTTATTTAAAATTCTACTACCTTGGCTCCTATTAAAGGCCAGTAATTACGCTTTTCTATTTCACAAACAGCACTGCACACAGCACAAGACAACAAACCAGCGAGCGAGTTTTGCAAAATAAAGAAATTATTTGTTCTCACTTTTCTTTTCGTCGTTTCAGGGGAAAGCGTATAAACAATTTGAAGGAATTTTCACAACTTATGTAGTAGAATAGATGTTACCCAGGTAAGTGTTTATAGATTTGCTGCATATGCGCAGTGCAAAACGGAAATCGTTGTTATCGATAGCATGGCACTAAGTTAACCGTTAGAGATTGAGACTGTTATATATGGTTTGAATTTGAAATTGTTTTTATATATTTTTATATTTTATATATTTTTAAAAGAATATATTTATTCTATGACCTTGAGATTGAAATAAAGCTGGTATGAACATAGCATAACTTTGACACTCTGTGTTGTAGAAAAAATCGATTAATGAAGTGTAAGCCCAAAGGTATGCTAAAAAATGTGTTAGTTGAAAATACTTGGAGGCAGTGGTATAAGAATACAGGTAATCGCATCGACACTGCTGAAGGGACAATGAACAGTCAAACCAATTTTGAAATTGAAAACGTTGAATGTAAATTTATTGAAATTTTTAAAAATTGTGGAAAAATGCTTGTCATAAGTTGTGTTCCAGAACCTGCAAATTAGTACTAATTAGCACTAATTCTGCTACAACTCGTTCCCGTACTCCAAAAACTAGCAAAACTTGCACATTTCTGCTTGTTTTAGCTACATGAATTTGGCCGAGCAGAAATGTGCATATTGTAAATTTGACATTTAATTGGCAGGGCTAACAAGGTTGAAAATGTATTGATACATTTCAATAAAGAAAATGACCAACTTGAAAACTAAAGGAAAAACTAATATTTGTCGTGCAAAAAACAAAAAGAGAAAACATGGGGCAACTGATGTATTCACTTTTGGATGATTCCAGCAGTGAAGAGGACTGGCTGAATGAGGAATCAGATTATTAATTATTATTATAAATTATTAATTTTAACTTATCGTCTTCAATTCTCATTTTTAAATGTTGGCGCTCTTTTCAGTAAGGTTTCACCAGTCCGATTTAGGCTGTTTACTTTTGAAATTTTGAATTTTGACATTTTATCGCATTTCTGCTAATTTTCCGTTCCCTTATTTTTTGAGCAAACCTAAATGAGAATGACATTTCGAACTGTTCTCTCTTCTGCTAGTTTTACTACTAAAAAAGTATTGGAACACAACTATAATTGGCGTCGTATAAGAAAACATATAAAAATCTTACATATGTCTGTGACTTTTATTATCCATGTGTATGTCAAAGTTGTCTTCTTACGTATGACTTATAATTTTTGTCAAACTTGATATTTATGTATCCATTGTATACACAGAAATCAGAGATGGGAACCTGTTTCTTATTCAGTGAAATTTGACAAGGTAAATTACAAAAAGTGCAGAAATAGATTTTTCCATTTGAATGGCTTTATCTTCTTTATTTCACCATGCAATAAACAAACAATTGGTCTGTTCCAGAGCCTGCAAGAATCTACTATTTTTGCAACTTTTTTCCATATCATAAATGGAAAATCGGATATCGTGGTAAACAATTTTACATCCTTGCTGTTCTGAAACAGACCAAATTCTTTTGATTAAATTATATTTTTCCAATGAAACTAGGGCTCACTGTGATCGAAAAAGTATGTATGTACATTATTCTTGTATTTCACAAATGAAATGTTGTTAATGTTTCACACGGTATGTACAACTTCTACAGGGTCAAATAAAAAAACCGCAACAAAGTCAAAAGCCATAATTTATATACATATTTTTTTTTAATTTTATTAAATGAAAGCAAAAATGTCGGAAATAGTATAAAATTTTAGAATAAGTTTAGATTTATTCGAATTGCACACCTTTGGCACGAATTATGGCCTTCAAACGGCCAATGAAACCGTCACACGCTGCCCAAATGTTGCTCTGCGGTATTTTGGCTCATTCCTAGCGAAGCGTTTGCTTGAGGTGATCAACACTTTGGTATTTTTTTTTTGTGCCAACCTTGCTTTCCAAAATACTCCAGACACAATAGTCCAACGAATTGGTATCCGGAGATTTTGGTGGCCATCGGGCGCTGGAAATGAAGCGAGGAACCTCATTTTTAAACCATACTTGGGTGGCGCGTGATGAGTGCTATTTGCTGAGTCCTGTTGCAATGTCCAAGGTCTGTGGCAAAAATGTTTGCGTGCGCAAGGCTTTAGTACACCCTCCAGAATATTTTAGCGATAATATTCTGATGCCACGGTCGATTAATAAGAACGAAAAGCGACCATCGGCGTAGCCAGCGCTTGAGTTCTTATGGCCAACCGAATTTGCACATTTTCAGCTGACCTCTTTGGCAAGTAAACACGGTAACTTTGTTTGTTTACAAACTGCTGGACAACGAATGTATTCTCATCGGAGAAACCCAAAAATTCGGCAGTTCACCACTTTCGGCCAAGCGAAGCAACTCTTTAGCTCTTTTGAGTCTATTTTCTTTCTATTGCGGTGTAAGTTCTTGCACTTTTTGGAATTTCAATGGCTTTACCTCGAACTCATTTTTCAATATTTGCCGAATGGAGTATTGCGATATGTTCAGCTCACGAGCCATTTTTCGACTAACGCGACGCGGGTTTCTTATTTACTTTTCGAACCATTTCTGCTGATGTTGCTGTTTTCTTCCGTTCACTTCTTTGACGCCGGGCTACGCCGCCAGTATCACGGTAACGAGCGATGGTGCGAGACACAAAAGATTTATTCACATTTAAATGCTAGAGCGCTGCTCTAACGATAACCACTAGTGGTTTTCCAGCCAAATATAAAGAAATTACACCATCACGCTTGAATTCCATCACGAATAACTTTTTTTCTGGAAAATACTCACCAAAATGCCTTTGTATGCTTGTAAACAATATAATGAGCTGTCACTGGAATAATTTTAACAGCTATCGGACAAGTGGCTTGGAAATGACAGCAGTCTGAAGTTGGTTGCAGTTTTTTCATCTCACTCTGTATATGTAAAAGAACATTTCGTCTGTTAGAGACTTTAGATTATATTCTTCACCGACAGAGGGTATGCAAGGCGTGAGAATGACAAAATATTTCTTTGGAAATTAAAGTAAATTACTTGCCAGTCATACGTCTATATCTAAGGAAGAACTAAAAAAATATAAAATTGATAATGAATAAAAAATATAATCGTATGATGGCATGACAATACCTTTGTAATTGTACCAAGGTTGACTCATGCTCGGTTCCAGAACTGCATGAATGCAAAAAAAAATGTTTACTACTACAGCTTAAGATGGAAATACATAAAGCGCTTATGTAACTGGCTTAAGTCATCGGCTGGTTTCTTGGGAAATGAACGAATCAAGCTTGTGCAAAAATCGAACTAAGTCAACCTAAAACTCCTTTGCTCCTCTACGAAGAAGCCAGCCGATGACTTAAAGGCGTAAGTACATAAAAAGCTTGATGAGTCATGGCTAGGCATATTTTGTGACATTTCATAAAGGAATTACAGAGCCGCACAAAAATCCTGCCGTCGTTTTCCATTATAATTTGACATTAATATGCCTAGCAATGACTTACAGCTTTTTATGTACTTGCATCCATGGTACAATAAAAAGGTAAGGTAGAGCTACCATCTGATTACAATTTTTTTCGGAGTGTATCCGACTTCTGCCAATTTTGTGTATGTATTGATTGTTTTGAAAAAAAAAAAACAAAATATTTTCAAAATCAATGATTGGAAGAAACGTAGGTTGTGGGTTGTGTTATTTTCAAAATCAATGATTGGAAGAAACGTAGGTTGTGGGTTGTGCGCTTTGAAAATATTAACCAGTTTAGCCATCGAATTGAAAGATTGAACACTCTGGATCATATTTTTGAAAAAAAAAATCAGGCACTTCATTAATCTTTCGCATTGTTTAAGTCATTTTAGAAATGAGGAAAAAATGTGAAATAAATGAAAATTCATAATTTTGACTAATTCTGACAGGAAGCGGGCATAACACCTCAGAGTTGTATTTCTCTAGTTTTACGAAGCTGTTCTACGGACTTATTGTACCATGCTGGCACCTGTCAAGCCAGTCAAATAAAGCTGGGAATACATAAAGCGCTTATCTGGCTGGCTTAAGTCATCGGCTGGCTTCTTCGGAAATGAACAAAGGAGCCTAGGGCCAAAATCGAACTAAGTCAACCTAAAGCTCCTTTGTTCATCTACGAAGAAGCCAGCCGATGACTTAAGCCAGCCAAATATGCTCTTTATGTATTTCCACCTTAAGCGCTTTATGTATTTTTTTTACCCTAAAGGTTTCTTGGGAAATGAACAAAGGAGCCTAGGGCAAAAATCGAACTAAGTCAACCTGAAACTCCTTTGAAGCCAGCCGATGTCTTAAGCCAGCCAAATAAGCGGAATACATAAAGCGCTTATCTGGCTGGCTTCTTCGGAAATGAACAAAGGAGACTAGGGCCAAAATCGAACTAAATCAACCTAAAACTCATTTATTCATCTACGAAGAAGCCAGCTGATGACTTAAGGGTGGATATACATACAGCGCATATTTGGCTGGCTTATTCGTAGATGAATAAAGGAGTTTTAGGTTGATTTAGTTCGATTTAGGCCCTAGGCTCCTTTGTTCATTTCCGAAAAAGCCAGCCAGATAAGCGCTTTATGTATTCCCACCTTAAGCCAGCCAAATAAGCGCCTTATGTATTCCCATCTTTATTATTCCGCTATGATCTCGGAATCTATTTTAAAGTTAGTAGATTCTTGCAGGTTGTGGAGCAGAGCACATACTTCCCATTGCATCTAACATCCTTCACCATCTACGGTAGCGACCCAATAATTGGCACAACCCAAAAATCATAAAAATCTCCATAAGGAAATCTGTTTACCCTACCGACGATTGCTCAATCTATTTAGTTCACGAAGCGTTACGATTTCATGGACACACACAAAACAGAATATAATGTGTCGGACAATGGATAATGGGTTCTGGAAATCCGCTTGAGGGTTGTAACTGTTAAATGAACATGAAATGACAATGCTTGACCACTTTACATTAGCCACGCTTCCCCCCTTGGGTAATGTGTCACACCACAGTGCCTGGAAATTGAAGTGGTTGTAAGCATCCGGGCATGCTTGACACAATTATTGTAGTGCCGTCACAAGGGAAATGTTAGTGTTGTTGTTGTTGCTATTGTTTTTCCACCCCTATTTTTATTTTGGTAACGCCTTTTGTGAAATTTGCTACTGTTGCTGGTTCATCTGTTTTGTGGCTGGTGTGCTTGTTCGCTGGCTGTATGGCTGGCTGGCTGACTGATGCTTTAATGGCCTTTTTCCCAGCCATGCCGCACCATACGCATCACAGCTTTGAGTGAGTGAGTGTGTGTGCTGGTGTTGTGAGAGTTTGTGTCGTTAACGTTTTCGAGTAGTTGTTTTGTCGATTTACACAAACGACCGACCAAGTAGTGCTGCCAGTGGTACTCTGCTCCTCAAAAATTCACAGACCGTAATATGAGTATTAATTGCAAGGTTTTTTCATTTGGTAAAGAAGTGGTGCTGCTGCTACGAATAATAAAATTGTTTTGGAAAATTAACTCGATAACAACGACAAGGAATATTGAAATAGGCAAATCAATTGGCATCAACGGACATCAATTATTGTTGTTTTTATTGTTATTGGTGTGATAATCTCTAATTAAAAAAAATATAAAAATAAAAAGAAGTAAAGAATAGAGAGAAAAATAATCAAATCAAAAAGCAAATTTTCCCAAATTATGGAATATACATCCCTCAAGAATTTCGTGCTCACGGAAAATCTCAAAGATACCGCCAAGACATTCTATCACCATCACAGCAATGTTATCGGTCGCGACATATTATCCAGTTACGATTTGGTTATGGATCATTTCAAAAATTGTCACAGCCATGCCGCCGCCGCGAATGCGGCAGCCGCTGCCGCCATGACCATACCGCCCGTGATATATGAAAACCAGGATGAATCGGATATTTATTTCAATTATAATCCAGCAACGCTCAATTCCTCATCGTCGCCGCCTTCCTCCGCATCATCGTCGGCCGCCATTGTTGGCAGTATAAATAATCAATTTTCAGGTAATTCAAATTTATTTTTATTACTTCCACAGGGAGTAGTAGGCAGACAGACAATTGCTTCTGTGGGAGTGGGTGGGGTGACTGTTGATCACTTAATTGTCCGACTGGATGTGAATAATGGCTTACAGACGGGTTTTGTTTAATAAACTGCAGGCGGGGGTTGAATTTGTTATTTTTAGGACGTCTGTAGTGGAATTCTGTAGCTCATTTTCTGAGTTACCGAAAAAAATCGGTAAAATTCAAATGCTTATAATTTCTTTAATTAACGAAAATGTTTGGTAAGCTACCGACCTACCGATCGATACCAATGTTGTCAAGTTTTATTTGTTTTTTATAACAAAATTTTGTATCTGAAAGTTACCGATTTTTGTCGGTAACTCAAAAAATGAGCTAGAGAATCCCACCACTGGTCTCTAAAACAGGATTTATTTTTAAACACTTTTTGGGAAATAACACAGCAAGGAACAAAGGGTCCTAGGCTAGAAATTAAACTGCAATACCCTGGAGCTAACAACCCAAGGCATCGAAAATTGGCGCCCAAATAATGCGTTTAATTTCTTTTTGACAGAAAGGAACTGACAATGTTTCAATTCAAGAAAACTACTTTTGACAATAAAACTTGGTAAAAAATTTGAACTTACCGGAAAACCCTATATAGGCCTTGGTGTAGACAGAAAGGTAGGCGCACATAGGCTGTTCCAGAACCTGCAAGATTCTTGCAGATTCTTTCTTGAATTGAAACATTGTCAGTTCCTTTCTGTCAAAAATAAACAAAAACCCATTATTTGGGCGCCATAGTTCGATGCCTTGAGTTGTTAGCTCCAGGCTATTGCAGTTTAATTTCTAGCCTAGTTTTGCATTTTTTTTTTTCGATATCATAAAGGGAAAATCGGTTATCATAGTAAAAACTTTTACATTCTTGTCGTTCTGGAACAGACCAATACATTTAGCCGTCTGAAATTATATTTGTTTGATAAATACTCTGTTCCAGAATTGCGAGAATATAAAACTGTTTACTACGATAACCGATTTTTCCTTTATGATACCGAAAAAAACAAAACTCCGAGATTCTTGCAGGTTCCGGAACAGCCCTTTAGCCGTCGAAAATTAAATTTGTTTGTTAAATACTCCGCTCCAGAATTGCAAGAATGTAAAACTTTTTACTTCGATAACCGATTTTCCCTTTGCGATATAGAAAAAATTTCAAAAATAGTAGATTCTTGCAGGTTCTGGAATAAGTTAAAAAGCATGCCACAATGACTAAAGGTGAGCGTACATAAAAGGCTTTTTTACCGGCTTAAATCGTCGGCGGGCTTCTTTGGAAAAGAACAAAGGAGCGTGGGGCCAAAATCGAACTAAGGCAACCTGAAAATCATATGTTCAAATACCTAAAATGGTAAAGACTAGACAAAATGCATTCTGAGCAAATGGTTTGTGTCTATACTATACAGATAACAGTTCATGACAGGACCATGTTAACATAAAAAACACATTTATAGAAAAAAAATGAGAAACAAAAGTTTGAAAAATCCAAAAATTGAGTTTCAAAATTCTATTCCATAGACTTTTCAAATTAATTGCATATTGCCTAAGCAGTTTAAATCGCATAACATTGCTAACTGTGTTGTTACGATATCATAACAACAGAGGTATTTTTACAGGGTTGCCATATCTCGACTCTGTCTTGTCCCATCTTTATACTTAAAAAAGCGTTTTATGTATTCTCACCTCAAGACATAGCCCACACTGGGCTATGTGCGTTCTACTTATTTTTGACTGAAAGGAATTGACAATTTTTATTTTTTTAAAAATCTACTTCTTAGCCTACATAAGATCGGACAAGGAGACTTTGGATAACAATTTGACAATAAAGTTTTTGACTTTTTTAAATTTCCAATCACAATTATGTTTTGACAGCAAATTTGGATAGACTTAAGGTGAGAGTACATAAACGGCCAAACTCGAACTAAGTCAACCTAAAACTCCTTAGGTCCTCTACGAAGAAGCCAGTCAAAAAAGCGTCTTATGTATTCTCACCTTCACAATTTAGCCACCTGAAATTCAATTTGATTGGTAAAAGCATGGTACAGTTACCAAGTTAATCCCAATGGTACAATAAGGAGCTTCGTAAAACTACAGAAATACTGCCCTGAGGCTATGCCCGATTCCTGTCAAATTTGTATGCAACAAGTTGTTTACATTTACTAAGTATTTTTCCTCATTTTAAAATCTGTTAAACAGCGCGAAAAGTGAATGAAATGCCTGGATCTTCTTTTTAAAAAATATGATCTAATAAGTTCTATCTTTCAATTCCATGGCAAAACTGGCGAATAGCTTTAATTCGCGTCTCCCAATTTATGCGTCTTCCAATCATTGATTTTGAAAATATTTTGTTTTTATTTTTGCAAAGCAATCAATACATACACAAAATTGGCAGAAGTCGGGCACACTTAAAAAAAAAAATTGTAATCAGCTGGTAGCTCTATCTTACCTCTTTGTTGTACCATGGTAATCCCATGCAACCGCACGATTACAGTATTTTTATTTGACGTCCCTTCATCCTTCTTCAGAGCGTAAGACTCTCAAGAATTTTACATTTATTTCCGACCAAATATTTTGATATTTTAAATGCTTTTAGAGGGTATGCAATTCAAGGAAGTCTGTAATCTAAAACAGAAAACTAAATAATTAGCCTCATAAGTAATGTGAGACTTGATTATGGAATGATCGAACTTTGCAGCTAGAGCAAGCATGAAAATCGACAATATCGAGCCTTATTTTGCTAAAAGATTGCCATCCTCCACTTCAGTCGAATTGACATTAAATTCATTGCAGGAAATTATTAGAGTAAGCTTTTGTTTTAGCAGGCAACATTTTCCAACTAGTTTTTTCGAGTGTTTATCGTTCAAAATAAAACATAATTCGAGGACTATACATGAAGTAACCCAATATTATATATTTAAGCTCAAGTAAATTAAAATAAAATTCGTCTTCTAAGAATATGGAACAGTAAATAGTTTTTACGAAAATAATAAGACACGAAGACGGGGACCTGCACAGACAATTTTCTGACATAGGCTGTAGAACTTCAAATACTAAATTTGAAACGATTCCGGATAATAATGTTGCTAAAATCATCAAAATACCGAATATCGGGAGGTACTGCTATTTGCTGGCTATACGAAGACGTTACCTGCACAGACAATTTTCTGTCATAGGCCGTACTATCCATTACGAATTTTAAATAACAAATTTAAAACATTTCCGGTGAATAATGTCGCTTAAATCACCAAGACACCGAAAAAAGGAGGTACCATTATATGGGGGCTATACCAAAACGTGGACCTAAACATGCAATGTTTCGCCAAAGGAGCTAGAGCCCATTATGACCTACAACTACCAATTTTCAGAGAAATTCGTGAAAAAATGTGTCAAAAATCATCAAAATACCGAATATCGAGAGGTACCGTTATATGGGGACTATACCAAAACGTGGACCTATACATACAAAATTTACTGCCTTCGAAAAGTGCCAAACCGCGGGGAAACCAAATGGTCCCATATACATGGGATAGTAAAATTCAACTCTGATCTCAAGAGAGTGTGATTTGTATAAACGTCAGATAAATGGTCACGCCTCTCATGGGCAACTCAAAATAGTGATTTTATAAATGAAAAGTGTAGATGTTGTTAATAGATTTGTTTCTTCTTCCGACGGCTCATACTCTATGGTTGATAGTTTTGTTCGAGATTCCCATCCAAGCTGATTATTACGTCGAGGCAATTGAATCCGTATTGTTTTTAAGTGCTTTTCTTATATCGTTATTCGGTGTTTTGTTCAAGTCGTAATCAAATATTTTGTTGAATTTCAAAGAATATCAAAAAAATTCGCCCATCAATTATAATAATTTATAATAATTTTAATTTTTATCGAAACGAATGTAAAACTTACTTCTACTATAACCACGTTTCCTTTATAATATCGAAAAAATACAAGACTAGTAGATTCTTGCAGGTTCTGGAACAGGAAAATTAATAGCATTTTCTGTTTTTCAAAAATCCTACAAAGCTACGAAAACATGTATTTGAATGTAAAATACAACGCAATTTGTCTTATGTAAACTTCAGCCGCTCCGAACACAAAAAACTTGTAAACCTTTCAGACAAAATTAACAGATCACACACAAATATGCAATTCTCTTTTACTATTTTATATAAGGTGAATTTGGCAGAGTTAAAAATAGTGGCATGGTTTCCAGCTTCTGATTGGCTGAAATTATGGTATTGAAGGATTTGTATCTTATTTTGACATTTTTGCCTTTGCATTTTTGCGAAGGCAGCATTTCTCTCTTTTACTATTTTTACTGAGAGCTTTTACCATTTTTACTATTAGTGCGAGAACACAACATAGAGTTTACCAAACTTGACATTTGAATTACGCTGTTTGCTATCAAAATAACAAATCACGATTGAAAACAATATTATGCTGAGTTCATATGGCACGTGATTCGCTCTCTATTCGTTGTTCGACCATTATTTATGAAATATCTACTTGATTCTCCACACAAAAATTTTCTGAGTGAACAAAGATTTTTGTTCTTTGCTCCATTCAAATCACTCTCAGAAAATAAATTATGACATTTCAAAATAGAAAAATTTAATGAAATTTTAAAATTTTTCAGGAAGACTGAAAACTATGAATGAAAGATATAATGTTGAATGGCGTATGTGCATTCAAACGAAAGTACATTTTGTTTTCTCTCTCATCCGAGGTACGCTTTTTTGTCAACGAGTTGGAATTTCGACAGAAAACTGTAAATAAAAGTAGCAATATTTTCAAAATTTTGGTCCAACCGAATTTGAAAATAGAAAAATACGTGTTAAATGTAACAAGTAAAAAAGCTGTAAGTTCGGCCGGGCCGAACTTTGAATACCCTCCACCATTTGGTACAAATTTAACAATTTTCAAAAAAATAAAATCCGTAGAAAATTCTATTAAAATCTTAAAAATACCGAATGTAGCAGTTTTCTGTCATAGGCTTTAGTATCCATTACGAACTTCCAATACCAAAATTGAAAATATTCCGGTAAATAATGTCGCTAAAATCATCAAAATACCGAATATCGGGGGTACCGTTATATGGGGGCTATACGAAGACGTGGACCTACATGGCCCCTTTTCTGTTTTATGCTGTAGTATCTATTACGAACTTTAAGTACCAAATTTGAAACGATTCCGGTAAATAATGTCGCTAAAATCATCAAAATACCGAATATCGGGAGGTACCGTTATATGGGGGCCATACGAAAACGTGGCCCATTTTCTGTCTTAAGCCGTAGTATCTATTACGAACTTTAAATATTAATTTTGAAACAATTCCGGTAAATAATGTCGCTAAAATCATCAAAATACCGCATATCGGGAGGTACCGTTAGATAGGGGCTATACGAAGACTTGGACCTACATGGCCCATTTTCAATACCAAAAGTCCTGCAGACATAATACACATTTGAGTATAGTTTTATCAACCTACTTCATTTCGTTCGGAAGCTAGAGTGATTTCCACAGACGGAAATCGCTAAATCGACATAGAATTTTATGCTGATCTCAAATATATTTTGTGGTATCTAAAATGTATATTTCGAGGTGTTACAAACGGAATGAAAAACTTAATATACCCTCCATACTATGGTGGAGGGTATAAAAAGAGCCGCACTCGAATCCTGCCGTCGTTTCCCCTTATAATTTGACATTGATATGCCTTGTCATGATGCCAAGCTGCTTATGTACCCTCACCTTTAAGGTGAGAATCCATAAAATGCTTTTTTAACTGGCTTAAATCATTGGCTGGCCTCTTTGAAAAAAAAAAAACAAATTAGCGTAGGGCCAAAATCGAACTAAGTCAACCTAGAACTTCTTTGTTCCTGCCAGTCAAAAAAAGCGATTTATGTATTCTCACATTTAGATCTTTGTTTTCCAAAGAGCATTAAAAAAACATAAAAGTTTTGGTTCATGATTAGCCACAAATCGATCGATTACGAAAAAATATGTTTTATTATCCTTCCAAAATCCAACAGTAACTTTTATGTTAGCCCTCGTATATTTATTAGAAATCTATGTGTGTCTCAATGTTTCTGTTTTTATGTACATTGGTCCTTGGTTGTAAGATTAATCAACGAAAACCAACCAGCCGACCAACCCCTCTAATTTTCTGCCTGTTTCTTGATTGCATAGATGGCATGGGCACGGGGAACAGGCTCAGGCAGGCAGTAATTGTAATGCAAACAAACAAACAAACATGAAAAGGGAAATGGCAAATAAAAACAATTTAATGAATCGTGTTAGCCACTGTGTGTGTGTGGTGTGGTACGACGGTGGTAGTCGTGCTGATAGAGATGTCAGACGAGAGAAACGATAGATAGATGGTGGTATTGGTATTGATAATCTTCTCGATGTTGTTGTTGTTGTTCTTGTTTGCTGCTGTTGATTATGTTTATTTGGTAATGTCCTTTGGTATGTTTATTATCAATTCTCACAACATAATAATAATAACAGCAACAACATCTTGTTTATGGAAATGTGGGATTGAGGGGGAGGAGAAAAGTTTGGCTTTGGTGAGTGCGAGAGAGAGGGAGATAGAAACCAGCAGCAGCCTTTAACCCTCCCCCACAACAACGGCAAATTGAAGTGTTAAAATTAAGTGTAACTAAAACACCATTAAATAAGCATGGAATTACACGTTATAAACCCATTGAATGTTGGGCGCCATCCCTCACCATTGGCTTTTTTCTTTATTTTTTTTTGGCGTACAGACAAAATAATTTATGAATTATGAACATTTTGTTCATTAACAACAACGACGGCAGCAGCACAAAAAATAGCAACAACAGAATATAAAAAATGAAATCTCTTAACTTCCGAACAATTAAATTCACCCATATCAATAGAGGGGGGACATTTGTAAGACAGACAGATGTCTGTTGGATGGCAGGAAAACACTCACACACACAAAAAAGCGATGCGTCAAAAGTCATGTTCTAAAAATAAAGGCAACGACCACCAAACAGGACCATAAAAAGTAAATAAATAAGTTTTACACACACACACAAAATAAAATGAATGTGTGGAACAAATAGCACGAATGTGTGTGTCTTCCTTCTAGCCTTTGTAGCCGAGAATAGCAAACGAATTATAAATTAATGAATACAATTATGAAAATTGCCAAAGAAATATTTATTTTTTTGGTAGGAGTTGAGTGTCAGGATTTTCGGTTTTTACTCTGATTTTATTTTTGACATTTATGTAATATTCTCACTCTCTCTCTCTCTCCCACTCTTTTTAGATTTAAAAGCCGATGCCTATCAAAGTGATCGACAGAAACAACGTCGAATGCGTACCACATTTAGTTCGGCCCAAATCAAAGAACTAGAGAAAATATTCCAAGAGACTCACTATCCCGACATATACACCCGTGAAGAAATTGCAACAAAAATCGATCTAACCGAAGCTAGGGTACAGGTAAGTTCTAAGGCCAGGAAGGAAAAATAAAACGAACAAGAAACATAAAAAGGAATTGTTTTTTTGCTCGATTTTGTACTTCTGATTTAAGGTGGAAATGCATAAAGCGCTTATTTTTTCCGGAACGAATCAACCCTACACTTAATCAATCTGCAGCCTAAATTACATCCCATAAGCTAAAGTAGGGAATACATAAAGCGCTTCTCTGACTGGCTTAAGTCATTGGCTGGCTTCTTCGTAGAGGAAAAAAGGAGTTTTAGGTTAACCTAGTTCGATTTTGGCCCTAGGCTCCTTTGTTCATTTCGAAGAAGCCAGCCGATGACTTAAGCCAGCCGGAGAAGCGCTTTATGTATTCCCACCTTTAGATTATGGAATGTGATTTAGGCTGCAGATTGATCAGGAGTAGGGTTGATTCGTTCCGGAAAAAATACTACGTGAAAGGAACAATCTGAACTATATTAAAGACATATAATATAATAAGATGGGACATTACATTGTTACTTTTCTTCAATAGATGACGTTGGTAGTGGAAAATATGTTATGTCATGATATCGTGACATACCATTATGTTATAATTTAACAGAGCTGTCACATTTTAAGATTTGTTGTTGATTTTTATCGATTCAATGTACAAGGAAATGCTCTGGAATAGATTTTTGAGAGCATGTCTATCATATCTGATATTTTTTCCGAGTATTTCCGCCATATTTCGGCGATATCGAAATAACATATTTTTCTAAAATTTCCAATGCATTTCTGTTATGTGGCCTGCCATCTATTACCTGATAGAAAAAGTAAAGCCCATATGCATTTTGTCCAGTCTTTTGACTATATCCAGCTCTTTCGGTCATCTAGTTCCTTTAGTTCATTTAATTGATCTTGTTCTTTTTGATCCTCTTGCCCTACTTTTAACTTTAGTTTTAGGTTGTCTTAGTTCGATTATGGCCTTACGTTCCTTTGTTCTTTTTCCGAAGAAGACAGCCGATAACTTAAGCCAGTCAAAAAAGCGTTTTAAGTATTCTCACCTTTACTCTCCATTATCATCTTTGAAGGACGTTTTGTTTCCAGTAAAGAAATCTTACTTATCTACCAAATTAAAATAAAAAAACTACATATTCAACTACATAAGCCTACAAACCATGGTAACATTACGAAGTAAATGTCATCATGGCCTATATAAAATCGGCCAGTAAGCCCATCTGACTACTAAGTTTGCTGTCAAAATACATATTTTGATTTGAAATTCAAAGAGCGTCAAATAGCAGTCAACCACTATGTTTATTGTCAGATTGTTGTCAAAAGAAATCTTCTTGGCCGTCCTTATATAACCCTTGTCCGTGCGTCCGTCCGTGGAAATCACACTACCTTCCGAACGAATTGTAGTAGGTTGATAAAATTTTACTCAAATGTGTGTTTGGTCTGCAGGACTTTTGGTTTTGAAAATGGGTTATATAGGTTCACGTTTAGGTATAGCCCCCATATAATTGTACCTCCCTATAATCGCTATTTTGATTTTTTTAGCGATATTGTTCACTGGAATTGTTTCAAATTTCGTTATGATAGTTTGTAATGGGTACTACAGCCTGTGACAGAAAATTGGATATGCAGGTCCACGTCTTCTTGTAGCCACCATATAACAGTACCTCCCGATATTGGGTATTTTGATGATTTTAGAAAAATTATTCACCGGAATTGTTTAATATTTTGTGTTTGACTTTCCTAATAGGTACTACAGACTATGACAGAAAATTGTAAATGCAGGTCCAGGTCTTCGTATGGCCCCCATACATCGGTACCTCTCTATATTCCGTACTTTGTTGATTTCAGCAACATTATTCACCGCAATTGTTTTATATTTCGTATTTGCAAATCGTACCGGGCTCTACAGCCTGTGACAGAAAATTGGCTATGCAGGCCCACATCTTGGTATAGCCCCATATAGCGGTACCTCCCTATTTTAGGTATTTTGATGGTTTTAGCGACACCATTCATTGGAATTCTTTCAAATTTGGTATTTGAAGTTCGTAATGGATACTTCAGCCTATGACAGAAAATTGTCTATGCAGGTCCAGGTCTTTGTACAGCCCCAAAATATCGGTACCTCCCGATATTCGATATTTTAATGATTTTAGCAACTTTAGTAACAGGAATTGTTTCAACTTTCATATTTGAAGTTCCTAATGAGAACTACAGCCTGTGACAGAAAATTGTCTGAGCAGGTTTTCGTATAGCCCCAAAATATCGGTACTTCCCTATATTCGGTATTTTGATGATTTTAGTTACATTATTCACCGGAATTGTTAAAATTGAAATGAGTTTACTTCTATTTATATATAGCATGCCTATGAATATATGTTTTTATTGCAAAGCATTTTTCACATCAACGAACGATTAAGTTACAAGGAACGGTGAAATGAAAAGGGGCGATTGAACTTGAAGGAACCACAGAGCAGAAAGGAACTAGTTCCTCTTTTAGTGAAAGGAACGAGAAAGAAAGCTTGAAGTCTTCGCATGGCATATTTTGTGACATATCATAAAGGGATGCCAGAATGCTGAATCGTGAATCCTGCTTTTGTGTTTCTTTACAATTTATCATAATTATGCCTAGCCATGATGCCAAGCTGCTTTTGTACCCACACTTTTACTAAGGAAATTTACTCATCACAAATTATAAAAATTTTCGAGTTATCAAACAAACCTATTTTTGTACAACAGGGGATAAGCTTAGGGTAAGTCCCATGGTAGAAGAATACAGGTAGATTCATCAACACTTGGAAAAATTGATATGTCAAAAAATTTTTAAATGTTTTGACAAAAATAAGTAGGTTTGTACAGGGTTGTCCATATTCGACGGACCCATCTGGCAACGCCATAACTTTTGACAGAGATGTCACATCGCTTAATGACATACCGCGTTTGAAGCGTCAGTCCAAGCAGATTTTTACCATGAACCACTACACGGCACGCGTAGTGGTGAAAACTCAACGTGATTTTTAAACATTAAAAAATGTGAGAAGTGCGCCTTCTAAGAACACCATTAAACGTTTATACGAAAAATTTTCGACTGGTAAGGCTCTTTCTAATCCGAAGAGGCCATATAAAAGTCGACCAAGGCGATCGGCCGAGAATATCGCTGCCGTACGAGCCAGTGTTGAGAGGTCCCCAAGAACATCCCAAAAACGCTGTTCTCAGCAGTTGGGCATGGCTCGGTCCACTTTACAACGGATTATTCGCATTGATTTGCATTCAAAATTCAATTGACGCAAAGAATGTTGCCTGTGGACAAGCCTTGTCGATTGGAATGGACCCAAAGAGTCATGGGTCCGTCGAATATGGGCAACCCGTATATATCAATTATTGTCATTTTTTGAAAGGCCGCCAAAACTCCTGCCGTTAACACTTGATGGTTGTGTTGGTCTGTGATTAGCTTTGCCATGCCAATATTGTCCACAAATACAAGTTTTTTTTTGCCACGGGGAAGTATTCGAACTTTTATTAGGACGGCGTCATAGGAACTGCAACTCCGTAAATGCTGCCGTCGGCATTTGAGTTGCATTAAAAATGTTGACCTTTTCCAATGGGATGGGTTAGTCTGTGTTGTGCTAAGCGACTTCTGGCTTAATACAAGCAATTGCTGACTGGCCAGAACCCCAACGTAAGAACTGCAACGGGTTAATTCCTCATTACGCAAAAAAAGTTCAGCCGTCAGCATTTAGACTGCATATAAAAGGTGGTCATTTTTTATGAGATCGGTTGGTCTGTGATTAGTTATGCGATGTCAGTATTACCATGGTAAAAGAATACAGGTAGATGCATCAACGCTTGGGAACATTGATGTGTCAACAATTGTTAAATGTTTTTTCAAAAAAAGAAAATAATATATTTAAATGTTTTCTTATACGACGCCAATAGGAGGTTGTTGAATATGAAGTGTCCCAGCAACTTTGTCGATGCGACTACCTATATTCTTCTACCAAGAGTATTACGCAATGAAGAGACATTTGGACTTTCCAGAATGCCAGCGCGGGAAATGCAACAGGGTGATTCCTTAGAACTCTATCAGAAGATGTGTTTTTTTACATATGTAATGTCAAATTTTCCATATGTAGAGTTGCACACATCGTGTGATACATGGACAAATTTTCAGTCGTAAAATACTGAGTAAAGTACATACGCACTTTTTCGACCACAGCGAGCCCTATTTTAATCGGGAAAAATAAAATATTAAAAATATAAACGTATTTTGACAGCATTTCAAACCCAATCGTAGTTGTTTTTTACACTGACACATGGACGACCAAATATAAATGCAGCTCTGTCTGTCTTTTGCTGATTTCTATCTTCACCTTAAGGAAGCTTCGAAGAAATGCATATGTTTTATATGTTTTTGTTTCACTTACCCCACCCGGAATCTGTGGTTTTACATTCTGAACCCTTCAAACTCTCCTTCTTTTGTTAATTTTTTTAAAGGTATAATCGTTATTTTCCAAAAAAAAAAATATTCAAATGTCAAATAAGTTTATATCCATAAACCATTATCAATATGAAATATTTACATACAAATGTATGTATGTATGTGCATACATACATTTCTATGTGTCTGAAAATGCGTACATACGTACATACATTTAACACATCTTCCAAATCCTTGGTAATCATTTATTCCTTTTGATTTTTCTGCTCGCATTTTTTTCTCTCGATTGAAACATCAAACAAGCGCTTTAAACATGGCATGGCATTTGAACATTTTGATATTTTGACGAACGAGTGAACGAACATACCGCACTCGAACGCAGGCAAAGAAGGGTGGTTGAGGTGTTATTTTTATTAGCATATTTAATTAATTTGAAACTGGGTATGGATTTACACATTTATTGACAAATGTAGACAATCGGTAAATAACAAAATATTTTGCGGGATAAATAGATGGAGGGGCGGTGTGGTTTTAGGGTGAGGGACAAGCTACTGGAGAGTTTAGCCGTTATATGTTTAAATTATGG